TCCACTGCCTTGATGTCTTGTTGGCCGTCACACAGATGGTCTTGGGAGACACGGTGGAGATGGCAGCAATGCGGGAGAGCATTGAGGCTAAGTTCATCTTGAACAACCCCACCTCAGACTCCTTTGCACCAATTACCACAACGGTGCGCCACAAAGAAGAGCAGAATGCTGCTGTGGTGATCCAGAGGGTTTACCGCAACCACCTGCTAAAACGCTGCTTACGTCATGCTGCTTTTATGAACCGCTGTAAAAGGAAGGGTAGAAGTAATGAAGGCGAAGATCCTCCGAAAAAGTGGGGATGCTAGCACGAAGGATGGGAGTTCTCTATGGCAGCAATGTGGACCTTGCAGAGGAGATGGAGCAGGTTGCTTTAGAAACTCTAGCAAACCAACAGCCTACTGATCAGGAGACGACACATTACACAGACGACGGGAGTGCTTCAGATCCCCTTGAGCCAAATATCATTGTTGTACCTGTCGAAATTACTAATGAGGTTCTATTGCATTCAGCTCCAAACCAACACTTCTTTGCTCTTCATGCAAACCTGAGAGAGTCAATTGTATAATAAACAGCAAAAGACATAAGTCAAGTATCTGGCAAGAAAGTAGAAATGGCCGTCAATGCCAAGTACCACTGCACCGATGTAGCTGAACTTTCCACATTGACTTAAGAGGTTACCCAGTGCTAATGGATGTTTCAAAGGTGTTTTTGTTAGCTAATCTCAACAACCATTTCCTGTTTTTCATTACATATTTCAGGGTCTGTTTTGGGTTGACTGTCCAACTGGAGTACATGGTTTTCTCTGACAATAACCATAGCAACATCAGCTAATATAATCACTAAAAATGCTAAAAGGGTAAGGTCTGAATACAACCTAGAAAAACGTAGTAGGCAGCGTTTAGTAAAGGAGATACGCTGTACAAACAGGAAGACAATTCAGTATTAAAAATATTTTTTTGGGGGGTACTTTCACACAGAAAAAGCTCTGAAAAACTATAAAGCGTTGATAATTCATTGTGTTACTTGGTGTCTAAAACTGCTTCAATTTCTCTGAGAAAAAAAGGAAATGTCCAGTGTATTTAGCAATGCTATGGTGGAACCCTACATTTAGGCCAGTGCTTACTTTTCTCTTGGATATGGCTATTACCAGAAAACCCCAAACCATGTGCCCCAGTTATCACTGAAGAATTAAGTGTACATGTGTTACATGTGTACTACATGAATGCAAACATATTATCCAGCTCAAAATGTAACGCACACAACACTATATCACCATGTGAGTGGGGTTACTGTAAATTATGCCATTGTGTGGTTCATGGTAGAAGTACAAAGGTGGAGTGATGGCAGAGCTTTCTCACAGCGCTGTGGTTGAATCTCAATGTAAAAAGGGCTTTTATTTCTCTTCATGTTGAATCACATCAAGGTGAGGTTTTAACATACACATATTTTGATTATATAAATTAAGAAGATGAAGTTAGTTTTGAATATTTATCAAATAAAAAGGCGTATCTCGAAATTTGAACACTTAACCCAATTTCACTAATAACAGCATATTCTGTTATTCCTTAGTAGCTAACGATAACATGGGCTAGCTAATGCACATTACATCTGTCCCTCAGTAAGGCCCAGTTTATATTGCACTATTTATATCCAGGCCAGGTTAGAGCAGTTCACTGTGTAAGACTTTAAGACCTTCCTGTTTCCTTTAGATGACTTCATCATCAACATACTGCATGTCTTATTCTTTTTTTGTCTATTATTTTCCCACGTTTTGGTTCCCCTCAGACTGATCAAAAAACTCAAATACTACCTGTGGCTGTAACTTCAAATTAAGATGGCTGCATAACAGAACTGCCACGCTCCCTGTTCAGATCTACAGTGTATTTGTGTGCTCCATAAACAATAATTCTAGGAGGGAAATAAGAACTTTTGTACATTTTGCTGCATATTTTTTACATCGTTCCCCCTCATGTTCAATCTGAGTTTGTTCTTTAACTTTGAGTTAAATTAATCTCAGATTCAAAAACAGAAGTTGAAGGTTGTTTAAGTTAAATTGAGAAAACGCTTGAAGGAATACACTCACAAGTGACACTTTTTTGGGTCACAATCTCACAACAAAAACAGCTGTGAGATAGGAGACACATATCTATGAAGCATAATATTTAAGTACATACTGTAGGAGATTCATCATGCTGTAAATGTGTTAGTGTGCATTTTCACTGTGACAGTTTGGTGTTAACAGACGTGAATTAATCCTCTGTTAGAGACGGACACGGTTACAAAAACATCTTTTAAAACCGCTCAATAATCCTAATGTTCGTATCAATAATAAAGTAAATGACCCGTGTGTTACATGAGGGGAGGATACAAAATCATCCCCGAACTCTGAAGCCAATCAATGTTTTGGTTTTTGTCAAACAGTTTTTGAAAAGTCACATAAGAAAGCCTCGTAAAACAAAGTCGCTTCACTTGCTGCTGTGTAAGTCTTAACTGAATTTAAAATGTCTTACTCTGACTATAAAACAACAACAACATAAGCACTTTTACAGTTTTCTAGTTAGTTTTTCTTTTTTACATTAGACCATAGAGGGTTTGTGTCTTCTCTTGTTTATGTATTCAGCATTGTTTTAACATCAGCCCTAGGCAACAAAATCAAATCAATGTTTCCCAACGATGGGGTCTTTTTGTCTTATTATACTGCTGCCACAGCTATTCCTGTCAAGTAATGTGACCTGCAGCAATCATATACGAGTTTGACACACAACTGCACCACTTAGCTAACGTGTCCTCTGATGCTACGGTGAGATTTAAAAAAAACAGAGTCCTCCATTTGTTTACATTTCTAATAGAGGGCGAGCTTGACTGGTACATGCAATGTCAGTGTTGCCTGTATATATATTTCTTTTATTTTCTTCTGTATTGTACATTTATATGATTTTGCTATTGTAAAAATTGTAAAGTATACTGCAAGAATAAAATACGTCTTGTAAGGAGTCACTGAGTTTATGGTGCGCTATACTGTGAATCTGCAATGGTTCACTGACGCCCTCTGGTGGCTGTGTGGTGAACTGTAAGGAAGTTAAAATTTGTAAAGCAACCTCCTCAGATAAAGGCTGAGGCGCTGCTTGTCAACAGGCAAGGCAGGCAACTGCTTGGGGCCCCAGGCCAGTCAGGGGCTCCCTAGGGCTGACAAACTTTAAACCACAGCAGTGGCTCAAAATGTGCAAATTTTGCAATGACAGTAGGAAACCTCCCTGAGACTGAGAGGGCCCCATCTGACAGCAACATCTCTGATTGTGCTGCTATTATTCCTGTAACAAGAGAAGGATGAAGGGCTCCCTTCAAATGCTGATAATGGTAACTAATATTATTAACATAAAGGTGATGAACGCTGGTTGGCGGCTCCCTGTAAAAATGAGCTGCATGGCGGGGAGAAGAAGTTAAAAAAGGTAAAAGGTAATACCCAGTAGGTTCTTCGTAATCTTTTCATTGGGTTAGCTGACAGTACCAAAAATATTGAATTCTTATCGTATCTTATCCTTTCACAGCTCTTTGTTTTAGGCATTTTGTTGCAAGTTGTATAACAAAATCTTCTCTTTAATCGTCCTTAATTTTCTCTACAGTACTGAAAACTTGCCTCTCGACATAAAAGATCACACCTGCACCATACAATTTATTTTAGATCTAGAACCAGCCACTACCTTTAAGTTCACACATCGATAACAATAAGCATTGTCTCTTACAAGAAATAAGTGGTGGGGTGGAGATTATTTGCATATTTCTGTGGTTGCATGCTTGCCTTGCTCAGTGCTTACTGAGCTTATCGAACAAGGATGTGGGCTCGACTGGAGAAGGGCTGTTCGAGTGGGCGAGGTTTGATGCCTTCAGTTTCGGCTGTTAGTTTATCAACTGCAGACTTAACGTCCAGCAGGCAAAAAAAAAAAGAGTGTCACAGCTCATCATTTTAAATTATCTTTATATGGGCTGATTCTTCCCCCCAATATTTTGTCTAAAACATAAAAAAAAAAAGTAAGTTACAGCATGCTTGAGTCGGAGTATTCTTGTAAATGCAGCAGTGTTTCACTTTGGAACGACCACCTAGATCCTCTAGGCAGCTCCCCCTCCCCATGTATCTTTAATAGAAACGAAATAGACAAATTGATTACAAATTAGATTCTAGTCAGCTGCACTATAACTTTAAACAGTTTCAGTCACTCCCCTTTTAATTGTGTTTATTTCTCTTCCATTTTGTCTCTATATTTATGTCCATTTTTCCTCTATATTTATTCTGTTTAAGGATCAAAACTTGTCCATTATAAGCCCTCCTTGGCCACATAAAAAAGGCAGAGCGCTCGGAAAAAAGACGCTGGGCGATGCGTTTTTTCTCTGGGCGCAGCGCTCAAGTTGATAAATGTTCAACTTTTCAGAAACGCGCCGTTGACGTCACTGTCGCTCTTTTCCAAATGTGCGATATTCCCTGTAATTTAGCCACCTACAGACCATGTCCTGTACCCACAGGACACGGCTCGGTTATCTGGTCGGGTAAAGAAACAATCTCAAATATAAAACATGAAGTAAAAAGCAACGTAGCAGTGTCGGTCATACAGCTGCCATTGTCAACAGATTGTTGTCATAAAGAAGCAAGAGTGCACAGTCAGCCAATTCTGCCTGGAAAAAAACATTAGGTGGACACGGGGCTTAGGCTGTTCTTGTAAGAAGCAAAAGTAAATCACAAAAAAACAAACAGTATTGTTGTGGAATTGGTACAGAAACTGCATTGACAAGAGTATTGCCACATTCAAACAATACTGAGATCTCTACTTGGTTTTGTATCGCAGAAATGTTTGCTGTTCATGTCTTACAGAGTTGTTGTTTTTCACTAAGTAATGAACATGTGTTATTAAAACTGATCATGTCTCTAATGTTCAACCTGTGAACTGTTCAGTGACGTTTTTTTCTCGCCCCCTTATTTGCCTGAGATGATGTGTGACAGACAGAAGACCCACCAATGCAGACTCTCCTTCCTTTTGTTCACAACAACTTGATGACTGCAGAGAGATTCACACTCACGTTTGGATATCAGCACTTCAGAGCTTGATCTTTTTTTGCACGGCATCATGTTCTGGCTGTTGTTGCTGGCTGGATACTGCGGGCTTGCTTTGGTCAATAACTCAGGTAAATGTGAACGCTTGTGCGATGATCTTTTTAATTTGAGACTGAAAAATGAAAATGATGCAGAAAGTACAGCTGAGTACCATATTTTATGTCAGAAAGAAGTCGTTTACTTGACTTTTTACAAGCAGCTTACTGCTGTTATTGCTCTTAAAGCGGTCATTTTATTGAAAAGCTGATGTCTGTTAAACCGCAGCTATACTGCGTACAAGCGTTTTGCATGTTATTTTTGTCTCAACCTTAACTTCCTGGCCATCTGGGGGAAAGAGGAAGTTTTCTTCTGAGACAAAGACTGAAGTGTTTTTATGATGTTTAAATATACATCACTGGTGTTTATTTTAATAAACTGTTCATACAGTAACACTTGACCAAGTGATCCCATGATGTCAGTTGACGGTCAGGCTTATACATTTAAGACTTGTAGTCTATTTTCTCCATTAACTGATTAGCTGTTTTGTCCCTCAGAGCCTCCCTTAGCCCAAAACGATGTCCCCAGATGTGTTGATTGTCAGTCATATTTGTTTCCGGGTAACCTTTATGGAGGTTCTCAAACAGATTACCAAAATAGTTGACTAAATACATGTAAAATACTTCGATTGATGGTTGCAGCTATAACTAAATACATTACTTCTATCATTGGCCTTGATGAATACCTGTATGGCTGAAACATATTGCCATGCTTAAATGAATATGTAGTCCTGATTTTTTATTGTTTTAATTAAAGGCTTTTTATGCATAAACCCCTCTGAGTGCCTCAGACCTCGTCAATAGCTTCTAAGTTGGATCCCCCGCACTGAAGAGCACCAGAGGGACTCATTCAATTTGATTCTGTAGGACTGACAAGAGGACAAAGGCCTGTGCCTGGATGCTAGGGAAAAAATGGATAGTTTGACAGCTTGTTGAACTCTACCCTGAATTTACATCATCTGTAATACCATGACCACGATGTATAACCTCAACTTTCTTCACGAGCATCTCTACTTCAAGTCGTAAAAATTGTAATTGCTGCTGCTGTGGCTGTGTCACAATGTCATTCACCTAACCTTATCTTTTCTGCTCAGTGGCCCAAAAACCTGCACTGCAGATCATCCAGAAGCCCCGGTATTATGGTGCGATAACGGGCTTCCCTTTGAGTATTCAGTGTCTGGTCACAGGGTCAGTCAAGTACCAGTGGTACTGGGCTGCTCAGCACAATGCAAGCAACAAAGAGCCACTGCCAGGACGAAGGGAGAATATTCAGACGGTCGAGAATACTCTCCACATCTTAAATCTGCGCCTAGAGGACAGCGGAGTGTACTTCTGCAAAGCAAACGATACATGGGGACCAGGGACTGGGGTTAAAGTTGCCAGTAAGTGGCAAGTTCATATGTTTTATTCTGTTAATTGTGAAGGTTTCTACATATTTGAACAAAAAACACGCGCTAACTTACTTGATTTGCTCTCGCAGGAAACATTACTGTAACACAGGTTCAGTACAGGACCAAGCTGAAGGATGGTCTCATGATCTTCCAGGGCCTCCTGCTGGCCGTGTGCATTGCTGCTCTGCTGCTACGCAAGCAAGACCTGGTGAGGAGAAAGTTGACTAGATTAGTGCTGAACAAGTTTGTAAATTACTTTACGAGCACATCACCTGGACCCTTATTTCCAACTTATTTGGTTAATTAATTTATCAATCCTTATTGTAATTTTCTGTGACTTCTTCTTCTGCAGTGTGTTTCTCCGTCACAAAAACCTTTGGAAAGATTGCCACTCATTTTTAACATACCTCTGAATGTGTTATAGGCCAAACAATTCATTAATTTGATGAAAAAATAATAGTCATACGAGTCAATGAGTAGTTTAAGCTTTATTTGAAACAACTCTTGGCCATACCAAACTTTACTGGGTTGGTAGGAGAACAATTGCTTAGAATAAGATGTAAATAAAACTAGGGGACCCGGTCACAATAATAACATTCATTGTCAAGATAAAAGGTAGAGGCAGGTAGGTAGTACTGTATCGGCCTACATCAGGGATGGGTAACTTTGGTCACAGCAAGGGCCACATTCATTTAATTCTCACTGCCAGAGGACCAAATTGTAGTATACAAAAACGATTACAATCAATTATGTCTCAAATTAACTCAACATATACCAGTGATCAAATATTATTATGCACATATTTCAGGTTTTCATGATTTTGTCATGTTTTTCTTCATGTTTCCAATTAATTGATATGTAAAAATTGACCCGAGGGCCACGTTGAGGGTTGATGGGGGCCGCATGTGGCCCCCGGGCCGCCAGTTGCCCACCCCTGGCCTAGATATATTACAAATTCGTAATGTAATTGTGTTAAGAGGCAGAGGATTTTTATCAATGATTGCATTATTAAAACAAAACCCTGAGAATAGAAGCTGAACCGATACTAGTGCCTCACTTTCAAAGGTTCGTATCTACACACGGAGGACTTACACCTGGCCTGTCACCTGTAGTGGGTTATTATGAGTTAAGGGTTTTAAGTGGTTTCGGCGTTAATTTAATTAAATGTAGCTCAAGCTGAAAGTAAAATCTCACCCATTTAGGATGTTTTGGATTATTAAAATCAGTCGTCACCGGAAGTTCCAGTCGCTATGGAGCTACCTTTAGCGCGGTTTCCTAGCAACAGTTCCGACAGCCGCCAAGACGATAAAGTGGCAACTTCTGTCCTTTAACTCCTCAGACAATTTTAATAATTAATATATATATATTTTTTTTTTCTTTGATTTTTAGCAAAACAATCGTTATAGTAATTTGAAACATCGATTCATTTCACAGCCCTACAGAAACTCAATTATTTATTTGCAAAAAATGCGAGGAAAAATTGTCAAGAAAAAGAAAAAGAAAAATCACATTTCAGTTTTGCTTTCTTTTTTTTTCTTTTTTTCAGTTGGAAAACACGGACAGCATATACGAGGAGCCTGAAACAGATCACATCTATGAGGTGTGTGGTGATTTTTCTATTTCACAGCAATGTTTATCAAAGACAATAATTTAGCCTTTTTGCATAATAGGTGGCCATTTACTGGCAGCTTTCTTGATTAAATACATGCAAACTCAGTCAGCTAACTCCAGTAACTCAAAAACCACAACCTTATCTTTTGTCAGGCAGCACTGAAGATTTAAATCATGTATGAAAAAGATGAGGGGAAGTGGGGCACGCTTTCTCTCCACAGGTTAAATATTGGTGCACTGCATGTACTAATCTCTTTGTATACTCATCAGATTTATTTTTAAATGATCCAACTGAGGATGCAGAGGTCTCACATATTTGCTTATCAGATATGATTCATTTGGCTTCATACAACTTTATTAAGATCAAAGAATAGAAATTAAGTTCATAGATCCTAAGCATCCTCCCAATGTGTTCACACCAGTAGGTCTATATCTGCCCAGGAGCAGAGCTCAGCTTGGAGCCATTTGGCAGATTTGTAATTGATGAATACATGTTTCCCCTTCTTTTAAGAAATACATGAACTTTTTTAGAGAGAAAAAATGTCTGAAAACAAAATACTGTTAAACTTGACATTTTAAAAAGGACGTGTAGGTTGAAGCCAAAAGGTGGATTTCATGTTCAACTTATTTTAATGTTTTTTAAGTACGGAGAGAAACGTGTTTAAGTAGATAACAAATATATTTAAACGTCAATCACTCTAGTGTGACAGCCAGCAGCTGCTTATCTTTATCTCTGAGTCTTGTCTGATTTACTGACTTTGCAAATTGAAGCTGAACGGTACCCAAACATAGAGGCATGCAAACCAGACTGTAAATTCGTACATATGGACATGTTAACTGACTAAAACTGAACTTCTATGTCTCTGAGTGAAGCTGACTTTGCTGTGTCTCAGGGTTTGGCGATCGAGACATGTGGAGGGGGCCTGTATGAGGAACTCTCTGTGTACGCACAGGTTGATGGAGCCGAGGCGCCGTGGGAATGAGACTAAACTACACATCACCTCCCAACCTTTACAACCGCACAACAACTTACTTTTTACAGGTTCTTGATTATAAAAGTCATAGGTACATGAAAACACAAGTCCTTAGCAGCTGGAGTCAGGTGTGGACGTTTGTTATTTGTTGCCTGTGAAAGTATTTTTCTCTTTTTTTGGTGATGTGCAACAGCGCGCTTGTTTAATACTTGCTTTACAGCATGTTATGAGGATTTTATGCAATGCTTATGTTATTCTGGATTCACTTTCTAACATTTGATTTAAAGTTCAAGGAAGTGTAAACGAACCCTTTCACAATAAGACATGACAGTTGAGTTTACAGCTGTAGTGTTGGTGCTAAAAGACACTTTCTTCCTTTTCAATCACTGATTGAAGAAATTTACACTTTTTTTTTTTTTTTAAAGGAAACTGTTCATGTGTATGCATCATAGCCTGAACAAGGCCATACTTTCTGCTCTTGTTTGATAATCGCTTGTGAAGTTGCAAACATTAGAAGATTGAGCAATCAAACAACAATTATTCCCAAGTATTTTGATCATCAATTAATGGTTTAAATATTTGTATCAAAACATATCAACATATCAACGACTTTTGACTGCTGTAAAAGTAATAAGCAATTTGATAAAGTCACTTCTGGCTCTGGGAACATTTTTATGGATTTTTCAACATTATGTACAACCCCAAAATTGTGTATGTATTGTAAATAACTGGCAGTTAATATACAATGCAAATAACCTTTAGTTGCAGCTCAATGCCATTTGTAATGTAAAACTAATAAAAACAATGAAAACATCTGTTTTCTCAAGTAAATAATTTTTAATGAGTTTTGCAGTCAGGTATACAGGTCAAGATAAATATAAATAAACAAGTTGACGAACAACATGTTCATGTATTAAAGAGGAGCAATAAATAAGAATAAATAAATAAATATATTTGAAGTCTCAGGCTGGAGCAGGAGAGCTACAGTAATAAATCCTTCATTTAGGTCGGTAGCACTGATTTATAAAAATGTTTTCTGTTTCACAATATCATAAAACAATAAATACACAAATATAAAACAGCCAAATACATAAATAGGCAATAAATAAATAAATAAATAGATGTATTAATGGGGCAGATAAGATCATTTAGTTGGCGGTGAGCAGAGATGTAATCAGAAGGTCGGCTCTCATCAGATGAGTTTTGATTTCCTTCCTGATCAGCTCCCAGGCTTCAGCACTGTGACCCTAAAACACAAGACCACCATCAATATACACCATGGATAGATAGATAGATAGATAGATAGATAGATAGATAGATAGATAGATAGATAGGTAGATAGATAGATAGATAGATTTACCATTTGCTCGAGGACATGTGACAGTCTCTTGAAACTCATGTGCAGCTTCTTGTTGTGCTTCTTGTGGCCGTGGCTCCGGATCTAAAGAAATAAAGGAATAAATCTTGATTAGAGAGTGAAGGTGGATCTGTTAACGTGACCGATCCATCAGAGAGATTCAGTGTCACAGAAATGTCTCAAAGTTATTTTGTATATACTCACACAGGAGTGAAGGCCGTCAGCCTGCCGGCTCACAACGCCCAGAAAGCTGTCCACAGTTTTCTCCTCCCATGATGCAGAGCTGTGATTCTGATTGAGCAGGGTCTCCATCTCATTCAGAACCTGGACTGTGAAGCTGAGTTTATCCACCGCCTGCAACAAGAAGAAGAACCATCAGGAGATAAAGACACAAGAAGAAGTATGGGTAACATTTGTGTCGCTTTTTGACACAACATCAGAATAAAAATATGAGGAGAAAAAATCAGTGTTCATCTTGATATATTTGAAATGTAAAGTTAACATTAGTATGTGACTTACAGCTGCTTTGTCCGCCTGGCTGTACAGCTCATGAGGGAAGCTCACAGTGTGCTTCACTTCAGCATCCTCAGTGCTGTTAGTGGAGTTATGAGCCTGAAACACACACACACATAAACACACACACATTACATAATGAATCACACACTCAGTATAAAGTCAGTCAGTGGAGATCTTTCTCAACAGCATCCTGTGAAGGTCACTCACCATGGTGTCCAGGAGATCCAAAGAGGTTTTACTGAACTGTCTGAATTTATGATCCATCCATTTGCAGCTCAGCGGGGAGCCTGCACTGAACACACCGAGGAACACACACACACACAAAATCCTGCCGAGCATTTTGAAAGAGTCTCAAAGTTTTCTTTTGTCTCTGTCTGAATCAGATTGGGATGTCTCCTGTTGTTCTGTCAGAGCATACCTGCACAGCTTCATTTATAGTGGAGCAGGAAGATTTTCGTTTTCCAGTTAACCTGTGGCAAGCAAACGTGGACTGCGGCTTTCACGCGCACAGGTGTATTGTCACACATTTCGTCTTTCAGTTATAGTCTCCTGACGAAACATATTTTTCCCACGCTAAAAGCATAAACACGATCGATACGTTCTCCACGAAACAGCTTCCTATAGTTAAGGAAACAATAGGAATGTGTATTCTACATCTACATGTTGCAATTTTTTTAGGCCAGCTTATGAATAAAATATGATGCAACGAATATCCTCATGATAAATTAATTCCTTTATTAATATTGTATACACAATCCGAAAAGTGTTCGACTTTTGCGAGGTTTAAGGTTGTACACAAAAAAATCATACCGTAGCACAACATTTACATAATTAAAATAACTAAGATATCGAGATAAACCCAAATAACTGTTCTTTATCACACAAAAAAAATCAAATCAGACAACTTTAATATAACATTTTACCGATTTTTTTTTTAATTAAAAGAAAAAAAAATTACATTTCAGAACTCATATCTGCCTCTGCAGGTCATTTTTCCCGTTTATTTCTATATTCATTGTGTTTTTGTTTATTACATATTTACATATTACATATTTCTGCAGTTTTTTATATTATTTGTTTTTACATTTTGTTTAAATGATATGTGTGCAGGCGAACAAAAACTATAAATTATGATTTTAAAAATATATATATATCTTTTTATATTTTTCCATTTGTTTGTCATTTTTATTATTTGGTTTAATAACATATTGGACATAGCCTTTACTTATTTGATAATGTAATACTGCAGAAATAACTGCCGTGAGTCCGCATACCAATCATACTAAAAGAGGAAAGTTGTTCCCCAAACAGAAATTGCGGCCTGCGTTACGTGACAGTGACGTTTTCACATTGTGAAGATCGTGACGCAATGACGTTTCTGAGGAATAACCTTTCGTACAAGTTGTAAAGAAGAGAAAGAAAGAAAGATAAGCTTGGTTGGAGGGGAAAGTCTCTCGGTGCCGTCATAATTAGATTCATAATAAATCATAGAATTATAACATTTCATTTTCCATTTTTTATGATTTGCATGATGGTAATAAAAATATAAAATAGAAGCAGACGGTTTTTTACTTTCAACAAGACCTCAAACATTTGTTTTACAACTTTATTATTGTATTCATTTGAAACATCATTGGCATTACCAGGAATTTCTGATCATTTGGAAATATAGGTCGTTAGATAAGATAAGCTTTTATTGAAACCAAGTGGAGGAAATCACGTTGTGGCAAAGGCACAAGAACAGATATGCCTACATTAATAACGCAGAAAAAATAGAGATACATTAAACACTTGGATGTTATCTCGTGTGTTTTAAAGTAGGCTCCTACAAGAGGCAATCTCTTTTAATGCATGATTTTTTTTTAATGATAGTCGGCTGAACAGTTAGGATAATTATTAAGGCTTCAACATTTAATATAGAGTCACCCCTTGTTTATTAAGTGCTAGCCTATTGAATGAATGAAACCTTTATTGCCCCTAGGGGAATTTGCCTTGCACAGAGAGCTAAAAAAAACAAAAAAAAAACACAATACGAAAAACATTTACAGGACAACACATAAGAACACATAAGAACACACTAAAGCATCACATGATTCAATGAGGGATTTCAGCAAGTTAAATAAAGTGCAGAGTGCCAAGTTCGTCCTGTATAATCAGCTCTTATTAAGCAGCTGAATACTGCGCGGTAAGAAAAAGGATGTAATGCCTCTTTTAGTCCTCATCCTTCAAGCACTATTCATGAGCCGTGTCAATATTTAATTACACTTTGATAATAGCCTAATTGATTGATCTCCTATGCCAAAAAAAAACACACAATTGCTTTAATCGTATTAAAGCTTTATGTCACTTTTTGAGAAGGCATATTCATTTATAGTCTATCTTTATGCTTATTGCTTTTCAAACACAAGTGATAGGAGTTATTTTAACTATCAAAGAGTCCGACTGACAGGGTGGAGTTAGGGCACTGTCAACAAAAGGTGCACTGTGATATTCAAAGTTATTTGAGCTGTGTTGTCAGTCAGACGGGAACACGAAGTCCTCACGTGTCAGCAGCGACGGGAACATCAACATCAGCACGCCTTGAAAGCTGTGTGACGTTTGAGTTTCACTCGTAAACTACAGTGACAACCTTAACTGCAGCTTCAATTTCGCTTTAACTCCGGCAGTGTGTGTGTGACACTCACGCTATGAAGCATTGTGTTTAGTTGATTACTTCCACGATTTAAGCGACCGGGTATTTCCAAAGTAAATAAAACAGAAAAACACAAATTCCGTTTTTAAGGGGGGAGATCGTTGAATTTGAAGTGGTACAGGCTTATGTGGCCTATACCTTATTAACAAAGCAGTCACAATGTAAGCAGGTCTACATGTGTAAAAAAAAAAAAAGCAGCATGTAGCAAATATTTCATGTCTATTTATTTCAGTTTTGTACGTCTCTCTGATTGTAACTCCCGTTGTTCTGTTTTTCTGAAATTCATTGAAAGCAGCACCGCTCAGTCAATTTCCCATGATGCATCTGTTCTCAGCTTGCTCTGGGGCCACTGGTGACACAGGAGAGCGGTCTCACCTCTCGAGGAGCAAATTGTGACCTAAACGCTTTTTTTTGTACGTTTTTTTGTTTTTTTTTAATGTATATGCGAGCAGAAATGGAGAGCGACCGCATGGGTTCACCTCCGCTAAACGTGCAGTTACCATGGTTACTGTAATACACGGAGAACGCCCGTTGTTTTGAGGCGGCGGCGGGGGATCCACTGTCGGTAAGGAAGCTAACTGGCTAGCCGGGAAGCTAATTGAGCTAGTTAACCCTCAAAGCCTGTGCAGATCATGTTTCTACTACTTCACCGTGAATGTCATGTTATAACAATGCTTTACATCGCTTGTGTTGCTCTACTTTGTATTGAATAGCGATGTTTTGCTCTTTTAGTCGAGTTAAAATGCACAAATAAGAGGCTAATGTTACAGTTTGTCTCGGCTCAACTTGTCAACACACTTTATTGAATTCTTCTGCATCGTCTTCAACATCTTCTCTCTCTTTAGATATCATGATTTCTAATATAATCTTTAACCATGATTGCCTGTAATTTGACAAATATTTGTTGTGCATGCATTTTGGATTGTAAAATATGTTTTTTTTGTTTTTGTTTTTCTAAACATTTTGGCTTTTTAATTTATTATTGAGTTCGTTCCTGGTCGTCACATTAAGGATAGATTAAGATCAGATCAACTTTATTCATCCCAGCAGGGAAATGTAGGTGTTCCAGCAGCCAGCATACAAACACACAACACAACACATATATACACACAACACAACACATATATACATACAAACACACAACACAACACATATATACACACAACACAACACACATATACATACAAACACACAACACAACACATATATACACACAACACAACACATATATACATACAAACACACAACACATATATACATACATACAAACACACAACACAAACACACAACACATATATAGATACAAACATACAACACAACACATATATACATACAAACACACAACACAACACATATATACACACAACACAACACACATATATACATACAAACACACAACACAACACATATATACATACAAACACACAACACATATATACATACAACACACACAACACATATATACACACAACACAACACAACACATATATACATACAAACACACAACACAACACATATACATACAAACACACAACACATATATACATACAAACACACAACACAACACACATATATACATACAAACACACAACACATATATACATACAAACACACAACACAACACATATATACATACAAACACACAACACATATATACATACAAACACACAACACAACACACATATATACATACAAACACACAACACATACATACATACAAACACACAACACAAACACACAACACATACATACATACAAACACACAACACAACACATATATACATACAAACACACAACACACATATACATACAAACACACAACACAACACATATATACATACAAACACACAACACATATATAGATACAAACACACAACACAACACATATATACATACAAACACACAACACAACACATATATACATACAAACACACAACACAACACATATATACACACAAACACACAACACAACACGTATATACACACAACACAACACATATATACAAACACACAACACAACACATATATACACACAACACATATATACACACAACACATATATACATACAAACACACAACACATACATACAAACACACAACACAAACACACAACACATATATACATACAAACACACAACACAACACGTATATACACACAACACAACACATATATACAAACACACAACACAACACATATATACACACAACACATATATACACACAACACATATATACATACAAACACACAACACATACATACAAACACACAACACAAACACACAACACATATATACATACAAACACACAACACATATATACATACAAAACACACAACACATATATATATATATATACAAACACACAACACAACACATATATACATACAAACACACTACACAACACATATATACATACAAACACACAACACATATATACATACAAACACACAACACATATATACATACAAACACACAACACATATATACATACATATCCCACCCATACAAAAAAACATGAGCCCACAATACAGTTTGATATATGATATATGCAGCTCAGGCTAAAGTTTAAATGTCTTCTGTCCTCACTTAAAGGAGAGTCGTTATAAAGTGCAATTGCAGTAGGCAAAAAAAAGTATTTTTAAATCTGTCCCACTAATGTAGGCTTCTAAACTCACAACACAATACACGTGAGCTTTTCATTTTATTTAATCTAAATGGCCATTTCCTTTACAACGTGAACTGTGAAAAAGTGGTCTTTAATTGCACATCTAAAAGGCTTTCTTTAACACACACGAGCAGAAAGTTAGTCTGCTATAGTCAGCATTTAATCTCAGTAAAAACACGTATATAAAGATAAAGATTAGAAGCACACTTCCTGAGTTCACTGTCATCCCACAGGATACCCAGCATTTTCAGAACCTTGGTTTTAGACCCTGTCAGAAGAGATTGTCATCTTGCTGACAACAGCTCATCTACTGTCACAATAACTTTCTGATGACACATGAATTAAAAGTTTTAGGAGAGTTTCTGCAGTTTGCAGGTTAATCATAGTTTTTTTTTTTGCTGCAACAACAACTTTAATCAATACCTCAAGAAAAGCGCAAATGCAAATGAGAAGATCTGGCAACAAAAGTAGTATAATTAAGGGTCAAGGGTCATACTACAAAGGACATAGTTCAAGCTACTTGCATTCCTATTGTTGATAAGTAACCCTATTTTTTTTTTTTTTATCAGAAGCCTGGCATTAGAAGTATTTATCTTCTCTTGGTGTGATCATGTCAGGGAATTTGAATGGCATGCTCTCCGAGTTCTGATTTGCTCTCATGGTGTTTTTCTGATTGGGGAAGTTGAATGCTGAAGCTACTTCCCTGCAGACACCCTCTTTATTCGGCTCCTCACATGACTCCGCTACAAAATGGTTACTCAGTGAAACCATGAAATTGCAGATATGTCACACAGTACTGTCTTGTGATGGAAAATGTAATGATCGCTCTGTAGTAAATATGCTGCTTTCAAGGCGACGGGAAGGGGGAAAACTGTTTCCTTTTTATCACATGTTTTGTGTGCCTGTCAGGGCTCACAAGCTTGCACAAATTGCAGTCAAAGGTCATTGAAACAGGAAAGCAAGGGACAGTAAATGTGGTTATGAGAGTTGCTTTAACATTTTGATATTTCAGAGATTGTAATTTTTTTATTTAGCATGCCATGTGGGAGTAAACCTTCCCAGGAGGTGCCATGCTAGCCACACAGATGCCAGAAATGCCACCTGAGGCTAAAGATGTCAAACAGGTAGGACTACAAGCCTTTCTCTTTATGCAGCAGTCATGTTACTGTTACCTCAGCTCTGCCTACCTTTTCTGTGTTGCTGTTATGTGATACCTCTGCTTAAGGTTTTTCACTGACCTTGTTGGCTCAATTGACATAGTCAGCTTGTGACATTTAAGTAGGATATGTTGTAAATGTTCTGTTGTAACTGTACTCAGCAGGGTTCAAGATGACACCACTTTCAGCAGGAACATGGTGACCAACTTTATGCTTTATGATAACAACTCTTTGTTATATATGTGTTGTGTGCCGCAGCCTAATAGATTTACAAGACATCAGAAGTATAGATGCATTGGTCAAACATGTTATTGAATGACAAAATTGCATGTTAAAACATGTCCTATATCATTCCTCAAGTTTTGCAAATAAGTCAAAGAGCTGCTTTGCTGAAGCACAACTCATTTTTACAAATATATACCTGCACAATTAAAGTTCATATTTCCAAAGAGAACAGCCCTCATGTTGGCATAGAAACAATAAACGTTGATCTGAATCCGCCCCCTAACTCACACAACAAATTCTGTTTTCTTCTGGATTGGTTATAAATCGGCCAGTCTCTGTAGTTAACTGTATCCGATTGCATTCGACAGTGAAGTAGGTGATGATCGTGATGCTGCAGTGAACGTTCACAGATTTAGTTTCTAGCATGTCAACAGACCGTCATCCTCCATACACAAGGACATTTTTTTGCTCCTAATCTCCTGATATCACAGAGTACCACGTTCTGATGAATGCATAATGAATCAAACACATACAATAAAGATCTCCTTTTTTTCCCTGATGTCATTCAGTTGCAGATCATTTTATCAATACTAAGGGAAGGTATTAGATCCAGAATGAGTGCGGAGTTTGCGAGTTAGTTAGCAGATTATTCTGTACCCATGGCTCATTTAATACAGTATATATAACAACATGGCTTTGCAGAACATGTACACTGGCTAGCTGAAGTAGAGTATGTGACTCAGAGTCAGGCAAGGAACAGGTCCTGCTTTTTTTTTTAGCTGTCCTGTACAAACACTGCCAAGTCAAGCACGCAAAGAGAAGAGTGCTTCAGTGCTCAGAGTGGAGAACCAGCAGACCGACGACGGCCTCTCAAACTGTTAAGCAACCTGTTTGCATAATAAAAGGCTTGCTTGTTAAAGGTTTATGTTCTGTGTCATTAGATGTCAGCTGACAGTTTCATGTGACCGTAGGTAATCTAAAGACCTTCATGGCTGCTGACCTCACTCTACTCTTTTAGTCCTCCTCTCACTGTAGACTGGAATGCAGAAAACATGTGCCCTATGTGCTTTACTGCAAATAAAACTGATGTGTCTCTTTCAGAAAATTAATGAAGTAGCCAACCTGCTCGATAACCACACCTTTACAGATAGAACCTGAAATTAAAAAAAACAAGGAAGCTGATGTTATTTATTTCTCGCTGTCACGTAGATCAAAGAGAAGTTGGCACAGTCTCTAAAGGCCCTGCAGAAGCGATACGTGACGTCAGACACCGTGGTCACCAGTGACGATGCTGACGCTAACCTCCTCTGCTGTGCCCTTGAGGCCATCTTCATCCACGGTATCAAGACCAAGTACATCCGCTTGGAGGCTGGGGGCCGGAGCAAGAAAGGAGACAGAGGACCCCTCCCTCAGCCTTTCTTCTGGAGCCTTCTCAAGACAGTTACCCACCGGTAAAGAAACATTTATGCTGGAATGAGAGCTAAGAGAAATTAATTTGCAGCTACTTTGATTGCTGCTTAAGCATTCATTTATTCATTGATGCAAAAAAAAAATAGTGAATCAATGATGAAGGTATTTGTCTCTTAAAGCATGAAGTAAAACGTCCTCCTAACGCTCTCTTTTTAATCCGCAGTGATGTGATCACAGAGCTGGAGAAACTCAGCTTCGTGGGCACGGACGTGGGTCGCTGTCGAGCGTGGCTGCGACTCGCCCTGAACGACGGCCTGCTGGAGTGTTACCTCGCCTCTCTGTTCCGGGAGGACTCCAAGCTGCGGGCCCACTACCAGCCCAGTGCCTTGCTCCTGAACGCAGAGGAACGGGAGGTTCTCCTCAGCTACCTCCAGGGTCTAGCTTCGCTCACATTCAGCCTTTCTTACAAATCAGCTGTGCTAAACGAATGGACCAACACGCCTCTGGGTCTGGCTGGACTCGTCCCCTTGTCCCAGGCGGACTCTCTTGACCTGCCCATTAAAAGCGGAGACCTTCCCACCTCTAAGTCTGTGTATAAAGACTCATGGGATACTGTGTCTCAGTCGTCAGGCTCTTCAGATGCTCTGGATCTGCAGAGAGGTCTGGGGCTGCTGGTAAGCAGAGGGTCGAATGGATCACAAGGGGGAAGGACTACGTTAAACTCATCTAATTTAAGCCTGGACACCACAGGCTCCTCTCAGCTCTCCTCAGTTTGAGCTCCGATAGCCTCCTGCAGGGGCAGGACCCCCGCAGCCCCACAGGAGAGCAGTGTTCATCATCTGACCTGGAAATGCCAATTACTGTCAACCATAGCAGCAGCAGCAAGAGGATACAGAAAGAGTAAGTGTATCTTTAGCCCTTTTTATAATGTCTTTTATAATGCCTTATTTTTAATATTAAACACACAGAGGTGTAATGGTGCAGCGGAGTCAGTCCACTGCTGAACTGGCATTAACAGTAACAGGTGAAAATGTTTCCCTTCTGGAAACGTTGTAATGCTGTGCTAAAATACACTGAACATCATTGTTGTGATGTACAGTATAATGGCATATTAGACTTTACTTTATTGTCCCCAAGGGGAAATCCTTTTCCACTTCACAGTACAGTTATGGACAGCACGCCGACAGATAGTCACAGATGGACAAACACAACAAGATAACATGCATACAGATATATAGACAGAGTGGGACTGGGGTGTTTTTATTTTGGCCTTTTGTTGAGGGCTGCTATGGCTGCAGGCACCAGGCGTTTGCCGTATCGAGCGCTCCTGCACAACAGGGACCTGTGCCTGCGTCCCGAGGGCATAATGGGGAAGTGGCAGTTGAGTGGGTGTGTGTTGTCCAGTGCTGTTGTAAGTGCAATGCGTGAGATGGCCTTGAGATTGAGCTCTGACAGTGTGGGTGTGGGGAGACCAATTAATTAATGTTTGTGACACGTGTGAGTTTGACCCAGTGAGCATGTTAAAGAAGCAGGTGGAACAGTAGAGCAGGATGGGCTGGACAATACAATTTTCACATTGACTGTGGAGCTTAGAGCGTTTCTGCCGCATAACATAAAAAACGGTTTTATGTGGTGTCTTTGGGTTTGTTGAAGTACAGCATTTAAAGGATATGGCAGCTGATATTCAATATTTACAAAATTTCTCATCCTTTGTCAAGTAATCACGACCCTTTTGCTCATCACACACACACAAGGCAGTTTTGTTTTCTGTCTAACTTCTGGTTAAAACTGTACATTTTGATTAGGTTGAAGGGATTGTTCAGTATTTCTGAATTGTTGTTGTATGAGGTACTTGTCAATAGCAAGTCGGCATCAGATAGCCTAGAGGTTATGTCACATGCCCAACATACAGAGACGATAGTCCTTGTTGCATCGGCTTTTAGTTTTGCCCTTTGCTGCATGTCATCCACCACTCTCTCCTCCCAACATTTCCTATCTCTCTTCAGCTGTCCTGTTTAATAAAAGCAAAAGAATGGCTCAAGAAATAACTTTTCCAAAAAAATCCTTCTCTCTGCAGTTCTCTGACTGAGTTCAGGGAGAGTGGCCAATGCAGTCAGGACTCCATGCATGAAGACTCGTTTGTCTCCAGCACGGGTCCAGATCACTTCTCTGAGACGGCCATTTTCAGCGGCTCTGACAGCGAGGCCCCCGCTCCTACTACACCACCCGGAGACCAAAGCCAGAACTCTGCTCTGTCTGATTCAGAGCAGCCACAAACATCCCCCGAACTGCCATCATCTGATGAGAACGATGGCAACTCTTCTTTTGAAGCGTGCATTTGTACATCTTCTGAGATCAACTCGGACACAGACGTGCTCTCGACAGTCAGCGAGCCTGCAGAGGAAGTTACCACGACCAGAGCCGAGGCGAGTCCTGAGCAGGAAGGGAAAGAAGCAGCGACGTCAGAGCAGAAGACCTCTGAGTCTTCAGTTAATCAAGGCGTACGTCGATCTTCCAGCATCCTGAGCAGGAAGTTATCCTCGGACTCTTTATCAGTAAGTACACCTACACACAAACAGCACTTTTACGGTAGCTCGGAGGTTAAAACCCAACAACTATAATCAAGAAAACGCAGCATTTCAGGAACTGGAACCAGATTTGGTTTCTACCACAGCCACTCGTGTGCTTTGGTATTCTTTTCACATGGCATGACATTTCACACAAAAAGCAAAGGTTAATGCCAATGTGTGATATGCAATGTTTGTTTTGACCTTCATGACCACCATACTTTAGTTAAGAATAACTGTCACATATGTTTATACTTTTTTACTTGGAAACATCTTTTTAGACGGCTATCTGGCCAAGTAGCGCATCTTTTCAAAGTTATAGTAGTCATATTTTAGACCATTCAAACACATGCAATACCAGCAGTTTTTTTTTTTATAAAACTTCAAAGGTTAAGAGAGTGTACGGCATTACCCAGTGTTGCGGCGGCTTAAAATTGGAGAATGCTGCACAGAGACTAAGTGGGCGTGTACCTGTGACTCGCTCGTATCAAAATAAAATTAAAAGTCCAGATAAGTTTGTTGATTTCTTAAACAAAGGAGTGAAAAATAAAATTCTAAACAAAAGTCTAAAAGATGATGATGATGAGGGTCAACAGAAAATATTCAAACCCACTCACCCTCTTTTAATAATCACAAATAATCAACAGAGGTAAAAATACACATTATGGCTCCTACACCCGGCCTCACTTAATGTTGAATGTTTGAAATTTCATCATAGTGTATAATTTAAGTCTTTCCCTCAAACACTCCGGTCTGTCGTAAAAAAAAAAAAAAAAGCTTTTTTATTGCGTTTGAGGTTTTACAGATTTGGGAAGTAAGCAATAACCCTTGTCCTGATTCATTATTTGACTTTTTCCACCAAGAAAAATGACAAATTGTCAGTCTGACTCCTAAAACTGGGACACATTGTAAAATTAACACGGGGTATTTAGTACAGTAAAGTATGGAAAATTGTGGGCTATTGCCTCATTTTTTCCCACTAAAGCAGAAAATGATTATGGTGGATCAAACCAGGGTTTTATTTCCTAGTAGGTGTGAACAAACTTGATTCATGGTGTGTTCTGTTTACATCGGAAGTCGGAGCTGGGAGTGACGTCACATCCGAGTTGACCGCGTAAAAGTATAGACAAACAAGTCAGACAAGCAACATGAACCCCTCCAGGAGAAGCTTTCTTTTGTTAGCTAAATGGCTTTGTTGAGCCGATAACAACACACTACATTGTAGTTTGCACGTGAAGGTCACATGACAACATGTCCACAGGTAGAACTTGGACGATACCATCCGTGTAAACGATTTAATTACACAAAAACAAGACTAGGTTGATGATAAACACTTTAATGTACAGCTTATACTTTACTGTTGATGCACGTAGCAGCCATGCTGGATTTAAGCTTGGGCTACTAAAAGGTTCTCTAAGTTTCCAAGTTGGAGTTCTGACTTTAGGGGGCGTTCCTGATGAAATATCCGACTGGCAACTCAGAATTTCCGACTTCTAAAATCAAATGAAATGCACAATTATTTTATTTTATTTTGCTTATTGAACAGCAAAGAACAACAGCAACATATTGAAATGGAAAGCAAAGTAAACAGTAGAACTGTGTGCGCCATAAATCAGTACATACCATTTTAAGTATCTACTGAAAAAGTACAGGTTTTGTGTTATGGAGTGTACAAGATGTTCTTGTGTCTGTAGATTGAGAAATTAAAATCAAATGAAATGCACAATTATTTTATTTTATTTTGCTTATTGAACAGCAAAGAACAACAGCAACATATTGAAATGGAAAGCAAAGTAAACAGTAGAACTGTGTGCACCATAAATCAGTACATACCATTTTAAGTATCTACTGAAAAAGTACAGGTTTTGTGTTATGGAGTGTACAAGATGTTCTTGTGTCTGTAGATTGAGAAATTAAAGACAGGAACGTTTGGAAATAATTGAATTAATGACAGAAAGTGAGTGTCATGAACCCTTAAACATCCAGGACACATTCAGGATATAAAGTGTTTCTCTGTTGTTGCCACATGATGGGCGTGAATATCGTGACATATTAGTACTTTTGGCCAGCCTGACCCCTTAATAGAGAGAGATCAGACATTGTTGTTTGTCACAGTGCTCACATTACTAACCCAAAAGTCACATGAGAAGCAGACCTCAACTTTGACATGACTAACACTCAGCAGCACCGTGGTGTTCCCTTCACTACATGCTGGATGTTGGACAGATGTTGATTGACTTAAAGATCATATTCTCTCCTGTCCAAAAAGTTTCAATAAGTCTCAGGTGTCCCCAAAACATGTGTGTGAAGTTTCTTGTTCTAAATCCACTCTCATCCTGTATTTGATCATGCCTATAAACTCCTCTATTTCAGCCCTGCTCAGAACAGGCTGTTTCTGTGTCTGTACCTTTAAATGTAAATGAGCTGTGTGTGACCACGCCCCCTCTCTGGAAGGGCTTGGGTGACTTGCTCCATGTCCTTTTGTTTACGGTGAGAAGGCAGACTCAGAGGGCAGAACAAACACCTAGCTGTGGGAGTGTCATCCACCTGGGGGAGGGGTTACTGCCCTTTGTGATGTCATGAAGGGAAAATCTCCAAACAGCCTGTTGGAGCACACATTTTCAGTGTTTTTTACACACTGTAAAAGTGCACATTTGTATCTGTAACAAGTAGTTAATTAATCAGTTATTAGTATGACCATATATATTTTCATGTCACTACCGGTGATTTATCTCTAATGAACACAAAGTTAGAGCTTTAAAAGAGACACTCTTCTTCTCAATGAATCAGACAAGATTTTTTTCTCACTTTTTAGGTGGCAAAGAGTTAAAAAAAAAAAACTTCCACTTTACTTTGCAGCATTCCCGCTCCTGGATCTGTGAGGACGACATCTACAAGCCCCATCTGGAGGAGGAGTCGGAGGACGAGGAGGAGCCTCCTCCCGCTGAGCCGAAGGTCTCTCAGTCGGCTCCCAGTGTCGTCCATCGCAGACAGATAGGTATTCTCTCTCCCTGAGTGGAATGAAAAGTCTTGCATATTAGGGCTGCACGATTCCTGCTAAAATGTGAATCACGACTTTTCTCCCTGAGAAGTGAGATCACAATTCTCTCACAAGATTCTTATTTTTCAACTTTTGAGTAAATACTGCACCTCGGGGTCTCCCTCGGAAAACTTTAAGCTACACCTCGTCTATGTTTGGGACAGACTGACCTGAGTGCAGCTTATTCTGAGATGTTATTAATCATGTAGCCCTATTGCATATCATATATATTTATCATACAGTATATTGCCTTTTGGACAAACAAACAAAACAGGAAATGTGTCATCTTTCCAAGCAAATCCACATATTTCTGATTGACTGGTTAATTAGCTGCTGTTCATATAGGACTGAAATTTCCTGCAGGACTGGAAATTTTGGAATTGGAATCTCTCAGCTTTAACCACGCCCAGACCGTGACATTACAGCAAGTGATTTCTAGCTTTACGATAGGAAACACCCAGTTGCTGTTACATCATCTTTATTGACATATCATAAAGATTACTCTCTTACAAGACGTCACCTCCAAGGAGAGTTGAGCAGAAGGAATTAGAAAGTTCAGTGACGCTGCATCATAACAGGGAAATGCCTGAAATGTGAAGCATTTGTTGTCAAACTGTCGAACAGGGGCAGTGTGCCAGGGAGAACTCCAGAATTACCTCAGTCCATCAGGTCAACAGATACCTGACTGAAAACTACCTAAAGGGGAAATCAATATGCTAACAGGTTATTCCTCATTAGGCAGAATGATTGTCTCTGAAATATAAAGCATTGCAACAAAACAGATAAAAGATAGTCAGAGAATGATGTAATCTTAAACTGTTTGATTTTCCAAACATTCATTTATGTAATGAACATGTACAGGAGCTGTTAATGCTCTGATGTCAAGGATGGGCTAAACATGTGGAGGAAGGTTTACATTTTGAATGTTTGGAATGAGATTCTTTTTATATTTATATATACTTTATATACATTTGTCACCAGATAACTTTATATAAACCTCTTTTTTTTTAAGAGAGAGGAAAAAATGTGTAAAACCTCAAATTTAAAGACACATAAAAAAAAAAGTAACACTCAAGGTTCAACTTCAAAACATGGTGAATTCATGATCTCAATAAAACTTCAGATACATGAGACGATGATGCCATTATCCTTTAGGACAACAAAAAAATCCTGTTTCATTTGTTTATTGTTGTTGTTGTTAAAGCAGTTTTGAGTAATCCAGTTCCCACATTAGAAGACAAACCAGAAATTGCAACTTGCTCTAACATATTTCTCTGTCTGCGTCTGTCAGGGATCCCCAACCCGTTTCGGGGCTTGCTGAAGCTCGGTCATCTGGAGCGTCGAGGCGCTGTGGGGATTTGGCGAGACTACTACTGCGAGCTGTCGCCGTTTGAGTTCCGCATGTACCTCAACGCAGAGGAGCGGGCGTGCTACGACAACTGCTCCCTGCTGAGATGCGAGGATGCTCGCGTCACCTCGCCCGAGGGCCGCTTCGAGCTGGTCTTTCAAGGGAAGCACCTGTACCTCCGGGCCGCAAACGGAGATGGGGCAGAGGACTGGGTGGAACGCATAGTGGAGGCTGTCAACAAATGTCGGCCTGCGTCTCGTGTTGACGAGACGTGGGAGGTGCTGCAGCCGGAGAACGGTGTGGATGTGTCATCCCCGTCCTCCGGCCTCTCCAGCCCTGAGCGAGGGTCATCGTCCTCTGACGTGAGGTCAAACGGTGTGCAGGAGGCTCCTCCTCCTCAGCAGGACTTCGACTGGACTCGGACTGCTGATTTGGAAACAGATGCCATCAAAGAAGCCGTTTTGTACTTCTCCACAGATCCCGAGGCTCGAACGTGGGCCCCTCTGGTCTTCTCCCTCTCCTTGGAGGCTCTGAAAGGCTTTCAGGTACGGGAGGGGAGGAAGCTCCTGCGGCTAAACCACTCTATCGAGGAAATCCGGGACGTGGTGCCAGACGTCTCCATGGGAGGACCGGCCTTCTTCAAACTCCTGACCGTCAAGGAGACACTCAAACTCAGGGCGGAAAGCCCGGAGGAGGCTCGCTCCTGGAGAGTTTTGATCCGTGGAGCTCTGGACGCGTACCTAGAGTGCGGGGAGGACGGGGTCTCCGGGGAATCAGCCGTAGGGCAACCGGAGGTGAACGGAAACCTGCACAGACTGGTGCAGCACAGACTGAAGGAAGACGGAGCGTTTCTGGTTCATCTGTGTGCCGTGCCGTCAGAGAAGGGTCTGGATGCTCAGGGCTTCAGGTGTGCAGGTGAGCTGTCAAACTTGTCTGTTTCAATCAGTTAATGACATGAAAGCACATCAGATATTTATTTAAACCCATCCACCTATTTCCTATTTCCTCAAAATACACTCCTTTCCTCACTCCTTGATAATATCCATCCATCTTTTTAAGCTCTAAATGATCTTCAGGTCTGATCGTGAGTGTGTGAGCTCTTTATATGAGCTTGTGTTTCGAGGTCTCAGAGGTTTATCTACTGCGTGTCCTGCACAGGGTGTCCCAGGCAGATTGGCCCGTGCCGAAGCAGAGCGAGGCTGTGCGAGTTCTCAGGCCAGTACTACTGTGACTCCTGTCACCATGGAGACACCACCGTCATCCCTTCACGCATGGTGCACAACTGGGACCTCACACAGCGAGAGGTAGGTGTGGCACAAAACTGACAGGTTGATAGGACCTCACTTAAACCGTGGTTATCAGATATTGTATCAGTGCTTGTGTTGCATGTCTGAAGGGGGGGACTCAAGTGATGTCATTTGAGTCTGTGTCAATTAGTTTGGACCAGATGTCATTAGCCTCGTCATCTCTGCTGAAGGCTGAGTGTTACTAGCATAACACTCCAAATTCTCTGAACAAACGGTGAGGTGTTGTGGTGCATTGTGGGTAATGTAGGCTCTAGATGTTAATAAAAAAAATACAAAATAAAAGATTCTTGTGAAGAGAAGCTTGCTGTCCCATTGCCAGGCTGACAATCTTGAGGTCTGTTCATAGTCTTATAAGTTTAAGATTGGCTCATCGTCCGCACCTTCATTATACTCTGAACCCCCCATGAGTCTGTGCGTCTGTCCAGGTGTCTAAGAAGGCGCTGCGGCTGCTGGCTCAGGTGGAGCACGAGCCTCTGCTGAACGTGGAGCAGCTGAACCCCGATCTGATGCTTCACGCCGAACCCATGGCTCAGGCTCACAACCTGCGACAGAGGCTGCGTCTGCTCGGAGACTACCTGTTCACCTGCCGCAGCGGAGCCTGCAAGAAACTCCAAGCCAGGTGCGTGTGCATGTGCATTAGATATTTTCTGATATTCTTCTCCAACTTGGAATACATCTGTTATTTATTTGTTCTCTTGTAGAATGGAACAGCGGTCGTACATGTTGGAGTCGAGCCACCTGTACAGCGTCATGGACTTACGGCAGATAGCTGAGGACCAATATGCGAACTACCTGCTCACACTGCTGCAGCACGCCTCCAACCACGTGTTCCACTGCGATCTGTGCACCCAGCGAGGCTTCATCTGTCAGACATGCCACGCCGATGACATCATCTTTCCCTTCCAGTTTGAAATCACCACCAGGTATGTTATGCTGTTCATTTCCCCGCCCCCCCCCCCTCGCCTCACGTCATTATGTCATCCACCCAAGTCTTAATTCTTTCAAGTAACGAATCCACCAGAAAGCCGACAGGAAACAAAAGGCGTTAATCACACCTGTCTCCATTCATTGATTTTTCTCCTTATTCTGTTGACTTGTGGAAAAGCTGCTTCCTTCTTCCACTTCTTTGTCTTTGTCATATTTTTCCATCATGCCTTTTGCTCACACTATTTCCTGATTCTCTCGGCTAATTTTATAGTCATGACAAAAATAATCTAGACTAAAAGCTAATGTGTGTGTGTGTGGAATATATTTCAGTTCTTCTGCTCTATTAGGAAGGCTTGACGTTGTTTCCAGTATACTGAGGCAAAGAAACGGTTTGACTTTATACCACACGGCTTCTTTCTTTTGCTTTTTAAAGGGTTTGTTCAGCTCATAAGTTTAAAGTTTATTTGTTATAATACACAATTGTCTTTATTTCTAAAACAAAAAAGCTATACACGTTTAGATTTCGACCTTTCCTTTGCTTTGTGTACGACTGATTTGAAGGGTCCCGTTTGGCGTTTTGAAAGTTTTTATCTTAAGTTATTTGGGACTTTAAAGTCACCAAATTTGACTCTATCCTGGTTGACAAGTCACTGTGTAAAAAAACATTTGTCTATTCTTCTTGGAATTAGATCTTAAATTTTTATGCAAATTAAAATCAGAGGAGTGGCCCCCTGGTGGCCAACAGGAGGAATACATGTTTAATGCACTTCAGTGTTGACCTCACTTTTCAAAGCTGGAGGCTCAATCCTCTGATTTCAGACAGTCTTTATGAAAAATGTTTGCTTAAGGACTGTCATTCATATTTTGATCTTGCGTTCATTTTATTGTGTGATGTATAATCAGTCATTAATAAGTCTAAGAAAATCTGAACAATTTAGCTTTCACTTTGTATCTAGGAGAATTGCATTGTATTTTAAATACCTTCCTCTTGTTTGCGACCCAGGTGTAAGGACTGTAAGGCCGTGTTTCACCTGGCCTGCAAGGCGCCCGACGACCCGTGTCCTCGCTGTCAGCGGATGAAGAAATACCTGGAGAGAAATCTTCAGGACTGAGCGCATCCCTGCCCCGCTCTCTTTCAGCACGACAGAACACTGCTGAGAGCGGAGTGACTGGAAATTAAAACAAAAAACTAGCTTTTACATGAAGTAACCTCAAGTGCAATTATGAGTGATCCGCCTGCTAACCGGAGAGGAAAACGTAGGAGCCACAGTGCTACAGTAGCTCGAGTCTGCACTAATGCAGAGGCACGTTAAGCCTCGGGATGCTGACTTAACGCAGCCAGCTGTTACTGAACAGTGACTTTAATACCTCTCTGATTTCTCACTCAGCCACGACATCAAACAAAGGACTGGACAACGGCAGCAGTTCCTTGCCAAGAATCTTATCCGGCACATTTTGTTTTTTTTCATTGTGCTTTCTTTTTAAATTTTTTTAAATATTCTTATTGTGTCGGTGTCAGAAGAATCATGTTTACTAGAAATGCTCGTCAGCACACTCCAGCATTTTGTCTCAGATGCACAACTAATGAAGCATAACACAGGAACAAAGTGCAAAACATGGGAGGACGCAGCATGGGGAATGTTCTAATAAACACATTTTGATTGTGCCTTCTACTTAATTTAAGCTTTACACGATGTTTCACTTTGTGTGTCTTTCATTCAGGGTCACATAGACTGTTTTATATATATAACCTTTGCCATAACCATAAGGGGGAGTTACACTATAGCATTAGATACTGATTTATATTTGGGTAAACAGAAGTTGCTTTGAAAAAACTTAGAAAAGAGCATTAAATGACGTGTGATTGAACATAAAACTTTTTTATCCAAAGGGTTCTGAGGCATGTTTAAGGAATGTTTTCGATTGTAAGACTAGGATTATGTCCAGCAGTGGTTTCTCAACTGGTGGGAGGGGGGACCCAGAAGTTGGTCGTGGAGCCACTTTCAGGGGGTCTCAAATGTGTGACTGGAAAAAAAAAAAAGTTGTCAAAAGTCTATGAAGCGCTTTTTAAGCACGATTGTTTTGTTCAGTTTCTCCCTTTAGTTACATGTTTTGTAACGACTGCGAGCCTGATTTTTTTTTCTGCATGAAATTAATCTGATTGGTCGGAAAATATCAGAAGTTTGGGTTGTTTCTGGAGGAGTTGGAGGCGGGTCCTGGGGTCAGACGAGTTGAGAACCACTGATGTACAGTGAGCAGGCCGTTATTTAACTTTAATGATCTGCTCACAGCTACTTAATTAAGAAATAAATGATATGAATTGAAAATAATTGTTTCACCTCTACTTTAAAATGTAACAGCTGAGTTGATAGCAACAGTTTGTTATTCGATTATAACTGAGCGTATAATTCTGTTAACCAATCAGAATGAAGTTTTAAACAAAGCTGTGTTATTTACTGACAAGATTAAACATAAACATGTTGCCGACACATTTCCAAATTTAGATTTCTGAGGATTTAACTGGATGTGACATTGATCCTGAAAAACATTTAGCATGTTTGCACTTTTAGCTCCGACTGTTTAACGGATATTTCATCGTTTAATGCAGTTGAAATACCACGAGCACATGAAATAACCCCTCAACTTAAAAAAAAAAAAGACTCCTCCTTTGCTGACATTCTCCACATTCATTTGTGCTCTATTCTCCTCTCTGTTGTAGCATCAAACACACAATCGCGATACAAACACAACTTTTAAAATGTGCGGAAGTTAAAGAGAAATAAAGACAGTAAAGGGTTACTTATCAAGGTCGTCTTGATGTATGCAGATAAAGTCACTTTCAAGTGAGAATATCACAGTACTGTTATCATGGTGTCTTTATTTTTTAATGTCATCTCGTTCATTATGTAAGATGTACAAATGAAAATAAATATGTGTGTTATCTTCTGAGTACTTTTGTTTTATTCACAGAAGCATTATGGATCATTGTTGTGGTTAGCTTATTAAAAAACAATCTATAAAACAACTGAAACAGAACAACAACAGTGCCAACTGACAAAGAAAAGGCTACGGAAAGCTAAAATGTATGATATCATTCACTCAAGTTAAACTATTTTAATAGGAGACTTTTCACCTTTTATGCAGGGCCGCCCACAGAAATGGCTGAGACCCTAAAATGTTAAATGAATGAGCCTCCACAGATATCATGAAATAATATCATCACACACGTTTTGGATCAGTAGCTTTATCGCTTCAGCCTCTATAGCCTCTCCTCTGCCTGGCTCTGATCAGCTTTTGGAGCTTATTATAAAAGCGAGGTCACCTTTTTTCTAGCGTCCTGACTTTGTGCAGGTCCCATAGACATGTAAGTCATATTTTATACAGTCCATGGCAGGACCTGGTAGAGCTACACCCAGCCCGACATTACTGACCTAAAAGCTAAGTTCAATGACCTCGCCACAAACTTTAATGTCACTCAAAAAAGAATCATTCCATTTTTTTTACACGAGGAGATTCACATTTTGAAAGAAGCAACAATAAATAAAATGTGATTTTTTTTTGTGTGTGTTGATAAGAGACGCTCAGTATTTAGGTTTTAAAAGATTGTCAGGATGGCCATGTTGTATTATTTAAAACTGTATTATTTAAGTTGTTGTTAGTTCTGCTTTTCCTGTTAAATGTTTTGCACCAATACACCAAGTCAAATTCCTTGTATGTGTAAACGTACTTGGCAATAAACCCCGATTCTGATTCTGATTCTAATTCTGATTTACATAACCTGAAACGGCCCCCCCATGCACCGGGGCCCCAGAAAGCTTTCCCCCTTTTCCCCCCTTTATGGGCGGCCTTCCCTATATGTATAAATTAAGGTATAACAGAATTGTTAAATCAAATTATTGTTGATTGTTCTGATAATTCTGCTTTGGCATTATCGGTTGTTACAATGAAGCATCTTGAACTTGAACTAGACCTCAAAACTCACTAAATTGTTCTGTGAAAAACTGTAATCAGACTTCCAAATATGTGATTTTATTTAGTCTAATTTATCTAATAAGTATTTCCCTCTGTGCCTTTTCTGTCCTCGTGCTGATGCAACTCCTGAAACACACCTGTGGAGCTCAATAAAGGCTTTATCTTATCTCAACAGTAAGAATCATTCTCACTTCGTGGGCTTCAGGCCTGAGTTAAAAAAACACAATGCGCTTTTCTGTTTTATGAATTAAATGTTAAAGGAGAATCCCCTTTGACCATAGGGCGCCTGGTTCTCACGTTGAACCCTCCAAGTTCTCATTAAAACAACGTGAAATGCCACAGAGCTGCAGTTACTGTGAATGAAAGGAGCGTCAGAGGAGCTGCAGGCCGCAGTCACTCTTTCATTTTCTCTTTCTGCGGGAACTTCCCCTTTATGGCCGCTGCTGGACACCGTCCGTCGTCTTGTACCTACAGTACATTATTATGAATGTTCACACACATTAAAATATGCATTCACAATTATTTAATAAATTAAATAATACATTTTTAAATCACTCTCATTTGAGCGCGTGCAGACTGACAGGGAGGTGATGACGACATAAAAAAATAAAATAATAATCTGCACATGACGCAAAATTTAATTAATAAACGTTGAATTTGGCGAAAAAATATTTTTAAACAATGGTTTTATATTTAAAAAAATATGAATTTAAATTCTTGGTTTTATCGTGTTATATGCTTGTTTTTAATTCGCCTATAATTGGTTTTACTGTCGTGTTTATTCCCTTTATTGTAAAGCACTTTGATTTAATCCCGATGTATGAAAGTTGCTCTAAAAATTAACTTTTTAATAATTATTATTTACATTTTAAGCCCATGTTTCTTTGTCAATGTATCCTTTAAAAACACGATAATATTCAAGATAATAAATGCCGTGTTATCTCCGATATATAATAGTCACAACTATTCAAAAATAAAGAATATTAAGCTGTTTGTGTCTTTATGTTTATTTTAATTTATCCTATTTTAATTAATCATTTAAAACACGCTTTTATAATATTACAATAAATTAGATTTTTAAGTTACGTACCAGACGTCGCCTGATATCGAGGCTGGGTGTTTTATTAGTTTAATCTTTTATTGTGGGAAAATTGTGCCATTAAGATACAAATCCGAAATGTGTGACATTACACCTGTGCGCGTGAAAGCCGCAGTCCACGTTTGCTTGCCACAGGTTAACTGGAAAACGAAAATCTTCCTGCTCCACTATAAATGAAGCTGTGCAGGTATGCTCTGACAGAACAACAGGAGACATCCCAATCTGATTCAGACAGAGACAAAAGAAAACTTTGAGACTCTTTCAAAATGCTCGGCAGGATTTTGTGTGTGTGTGTGTTCCTCGGTGTGTTCAGTGCAGGCTCCCCGCTGAGCTGCAAATGGATGGATCATAAATTCAGACAGTTCAGTAAAACCTCTTTGGATCTCCTGGACACCATGGTGAGTGACCTTCACAGGATGCTGTTTAGAAAGATCTCCACTGAATGACTTTATACTGAGTGTGTGATTCATTATGTAATGTGTGTGTGTTTATGTGTGTGTGTGTTTCAGGCTCATAACTCCACTAACAGCACTGAGGATGCTGAAGTGAAGCACACTGTGAGCTTCCCTCATGAGCTGTACAGCCAGGCGGACAAAGCAGCTGTAAGTCACATACTAATGTTAACTTTACATTTCAAATATATCAAGATGAACACTGATTTTTTCTCCTCATATTTTTATTCTGACGTTGTGTCAAAAAGCGACACAAATGTTACCCATACTTCTTCTTGTGTCTTTATCTCCTGATGGTTCTTCTTCTTGTTGCAGGCGGCGGATAAACTCAGCTTCACAGTCCAGGTTCTGAATGAGATGGAGACCCTGCTCAATAAGAATCACAGCTCTGCATCATGGGAGGAGAAAACTGTGGACAGCTTTCTGGGCGTTGTGAGCCGGCAGGCTGACGGCCTTCACTCCTGTGTGAGTATATACAAAATAACTTTGAGACATTTCTGTGACACTGAATCTCTCTGATGGATAGGTCACGTTAACAGATCCACCTTCACTCTCTAATCAAGATTTATTCCTTTATTTCTTTAGATCCGGAGCCACGGCCACAAGAAGCACAACAAGAAGCTGCACATGAGTTTCAAGAGACTGTCACATGTCCTCGAGCAAATGGTAAATCTATCTATCTATCTATCTACCTATCTATCTATCTATCTATCTATCTATCTATCTATCTATCTATCTATCTATCCATGGTGTATATTGATGGTGGTCTTGTGTTTTAGGGTCACAGTGCTGAAGCCTGGGAGCTGATCAGGAAGGAAATCAAAACTCATCTGATGAGAGCCGACCTTCTGATTACATCTCTGCTCACCGCCAACTAAATGATCTTATCTGCCCCATTAATACATCTATTTATTTATTTATATTTATTATGCATTGCCTATTTATGTATTTGGCTGTTTTATACTTGTGTATTTATTGATCTGTGATATTGTGAAGTATCACTCCTCTACCCTCTGAAATGAAGTGTTAATTTATTACTTTACATGCAGCCTATCTATTTATTCAGCTTTTTTTTTTTTTGACATATTTATCTTCAAAAGTGTATAAAGTCTTTTTTGAGAATTTATCACATTGGAGGATTTTGATAAAAATGTTGAGTTTTTTATGAAAATAAAATATTTTTTCGTACACAGCAAATTGAAAATGTGTTTGTTGTTTTTTTAAAATCCTGTTTCATTAAGAGAATTGTTGCAGATGATGAATTACACACACATCATACAAACATTAATAACATACAAAGCTACTGATGGAGATTTAATCACAAAAAGATGAAACAACCTTCATTGAAAAATGTATTAAAAACGTCTAAGGGAAGAAATCTAATTCAATTCTATTAAAAGCATGATAAATAGGTCATAAATAATTGTTATAAGCTGTTAAATGAGTGGTCTTAAGAATCAAATTAAATAATTAAAAAGTTGATTATGCTGATTACTGTTTTCTTCAAAGGAAAAAAAAACACATTATTAACTTAGTACATTATGAAAAACTTCAAACACTTCTGTATTTTTATCAGTTTTCTTTAAAATGACTGACAAAGCTGATGTACACATTTAAACATTTAAAATCACTTTAAAAAAACAATAAATATATAAAATCATCAGGAAAAGAGATCAAAAATGTTTAAGCTGAATTAAATTGTAGCTTCTGAAAAATGTGAAACGATCATGATGATCAGGTAAAGGTGCACAAGTTAGTTTTCTGCTGGCGCCCTCTAGTGGTTTGTTTGGTTCCTACAAGCAGCCTGAACTGTCTTCTTATAAGCTCCTGTATGTGTGAGCAGAACCTGCCTAGTGTGAAATGTTTGGGTCCATGCAGGGGAAAGAGAAGTCAGAAACTTTTGAAGGAGAGTAAATCACACGCACACTTCATGCCACAAAGGGTTTTTATTTTGTTAGTGATATTTAAGTTTTGAAAGGTGACCACACCTTACGATAGATATTCACACAAGTAGGCTGCCAAGCTAAACCATCACACCGCCCCAGGTGATATAAATCATCATAACCCGTTTTTCAGACACAATAACATAACTATGCACATGCATCCTTACATTTGATTTTACTCTTTTGTTTCCGTTATATCGAGTTGATGTCAGTCATTTTCTCGATATCTTGAGAACTTAACTCGTCACAGGAAAACGCAGTGTTGTTGTTGTTATCCCGAAGTTATGACATAAATGAGTCGTGATCTCGAGGAAACAACCCGAATTATTCGTTTTCACAAGCAACGGAATCACTTTGTATGGATTTATGTCCGCTTAGGGCTTCCTTAGAATTAAAATTTCACAATTAAGTCTGGAAAAATGAAAACTGTCAAAATCAAATTGACTTAATACATCAGAATCCTCCTGTCACAGTATATTTATACATTTCATATATGTTTTTTATTTTCATACTCAGAGCAAAGTTGTCTACCATAGAAGAAGTCTCTAATTGTGAAGTTACATTTTTCCTCTTTATTGATTGCCTTGCTCAAGAGCAGCTCAGCAGTGTTTAGGAAGTGAACTGCCACCCTCCAGCTACCGGTCCAATTTCCAGATTTGATCCACACTGGGACTTGAACCAGCAACCATCCAGTTCCCTTCAGACTGAGCTTCTGCCGACCCAACTAATTAATGTTATCTGAAGAGACTTTACAAAAGAGCAGGTGAAACACCTTACTCTTTGTTATATTATCTACAAAGACCCGGATTGATCCATCATGACCGCAGCACGACGTGCACAGGTGCAACAAGTGACGTCATGATTGCGCCCTCATCATCAAAACAAAAGCCCGGGAGTGGCTCACCTAAATGTCACTCACTCATTATTGAGTTTTATGATTCAAAATGTCTGTTTCTCTCTTGAACTTGGGTATCACTCTAAGTAAACTTCACATAGAATTTGTATCAAAACAAATAAAAGGCAAAAATAACCTCAAAAAAAGTTTAAAATAAAATCTGAGTTCATGCAAAAACACACTTTAGGAGCCTTTAATAGAAACATGAGCAGAGGTAGGCTTAAAAACTGTTTTATACTGCAATATAAATGATAAAATCACTTATTGTATTCATGTTTATTTTGGGTGAAAGGTGAAATGTCAACACAACAACCCAAATCAAGATCTTCTCAGCAGAGAAGAAACAGGTGGGAGACGCACAGGTGCAGCTAATTACATCATGATTGCTTCCTCCTCCAGACAAAAACCCCGGATGTGGCTCACATCAACCTCACAACCTCAGCTGTGTTTGATGATTTAAAGACTTTTCTTTCTCTTCACATTAAGTGATTTTTTTTTTTTAACATATTGCCTTCAGATTGAATTTGTAATAAAATATGTAAAAAAAAATTCTCAAGATGAAAAATAATAAATACAAACACAAAAGTGGTCTGTTTAGTAAGCCTGTTGTAATGACGTGTGCAGCAGACGTAAAGGTGTTAAATGAGCTGATGTCTTTGTGAACTTGCATAACAGAAGGCTGAGCAGGCTGAGGGGAGGAGCAGGTCTGAGTGAGGACAGAGCCTGTAAAACACGTTCAGCAGAAGCCTCCAATCCAGTCTGCGTCTGAACCCTGCAGCAGCTGTGACACACACACACACACACACACACACACACACACACATCACTGTTCTGTCATCAGGAAACATTTTTTTAGTTTGTTTTTATCCGAGCGGGGATGGATGCTGCTGGAAGTACCGAGAGAAGTGAGGCGCTGAGCCGGCTGGCGAGGAGCAGCCACACGGCGTTCATAGACGACAACACGATGTATGTGTGGGGAGGATACCAGGTAAGAAACATGTAGGTGTTCTCATTTATACCTGTGCAGGTAAATGCGTTTATTTCAATTCTGCATCGCCTTTTCATCTTCAGGGAACCGGAACATCATTTGTCTGGCAGTCTCTCACAAATCGATTTAATCTTATGTTAATGTAAAATATCGCGAGAAAATGGACATTAATAAATTAATTAAGATGCTCTTTAAGGTGTGGCATGTTCTCTGCTTCAATGGTGTTCATCAAACCGTACTATTATGATGGAAAACTTGTTGCTTTAAACAGTTGAGCTTTTTTTTTTGATTTATTCTGTTTTTGTAGTTTTTCATCATCGTTTTGCACGTGTTTTTAATATTTGTCTCCAACGTGATTGATAAAACTGTGATGAGCAGAGAAACCTCAAAGCAGCACAGTATCAACTCCAACCAGTGGCGATTCTAGATTCTGTTGGGGGCCCTGGACAAAATGTCACATGGGCCCCATCTAACTGCAGCGTTCATCACTATTATGTTAAAATACTTTTGACAACAACATAAAAAGGGCAATTACAAAATTGGCATTAGTGTATAAAAATTAAGGATGGTAAAACCTTGTCATTTCAAAATATAAATATGCTAAAGGTCAAAGCACAAACGTCATAATGCAGACGTTTGAATGTTAAGCAGCACAACAGAGTGAGCGCCGTCCGATGGGGCCGTCTTGGGGAGTTTTCCTGCCGTCATTGCACATTTTGCACGTTTTAGGTCATTCTGTAGTTTATACTTTGTCATCCTTGGGGGGGCCCAAAGCAGTTGCCTGTTGACAAGCAGCGCCTCTGACTCCAACCTTTTAAAATGACGAGACAGTTGAATCCTTTTACGCTTTGTAAGTTTAGGTCAGTTCTTTTATTCCTTAAGAAAAAAATGCATAAAAGAAACGTGCACTGGGGCGCGCTGGTGGCGCAGTGGTTAGGGCGCGCGTCCCATGTGTTGACACTCTCGTCTTGAGCGGTAGGCCCGGGTTTGCTTCCACCCGTGGCCCCTTTCCGCATGTCATTCCCCGCTCTCTCTCCCTGGTTTCCAACTCTATCCACTGTCCTCTCTCTGCATTAAAGGCACGAAAAGCCCAAAATAAATCTTTAAAAAAAAAGAAAAAAGAAACCTGCACTGACGTATACACAGGTGGAATAAAGGGGGGAAAAAAAACAACCCCAGAGGGCATGTTAAAGGAAACCACCTTGCTTTAAAATTTAAGCAATCTGAATTTTCCCCACTCATTACAAAGCAGAACAAGCTAAACCTGGACCTCCATGAACGAGTGATTTATTGCAGAGTTGCATTATTTTTGATTAGTTTAACATAACAAACAAAGAGCGTATCTGCCTTTTGATAAACACTTGAGATGTTCTCAAAAACATGTCAGCTGAGCGAGGGGTCCTGATATGAACCTGACACTACATGTGCATGCTTGAACTAGAAAAACATGTCTCAGATTGTATCGTGTTGCCAAACATTCAGATACAGAATGTCCTAGATACAAAAAAAAATGCCCAACCTAAACATGAATAAAGAATGCATCCAAGTCATATTTGAATGTTTTGTGGTGAGAAGATTTGTAGTCTTGAATGTCAACTCTCTGTTTCCACACTTTTTTTTTTTTTTTTTTTTTAAGCTTTTGCAGCAGATAAGAAATATTTCCTGACATGAATTCTTTATTGTGTTCCCTCACAGGTTATTGCAGGAGAGGACGTCATCCTGCCGAGCGATGAGATATGGCTCTGTAATTTAAACAGCGGCGCGTGGTGAGAAAGAACGAAGGCTTTTTTTTTTTTTTTTTTATCTGCAGATATGAGCAGTGTCAGCCTGACATCATAGTGTAAAAAAAAGTTTTGTTTTTCAAAGTTTGATATTGAAATGGTGCAGACACGACGCAGCGACTGAACAAGCTCGATGAAGATTGAAGAAAAACAAGTTAAAGGGAGAATTTTTCTTAATAAGTAGGTCAAGCTGTCACATGCTGACAGGATCTGTTTGAGAAACCAAACTCTCACTCTGGCTGAGTTTACATTCACATGCTTGTTTACACCTTTGTGCTCACCCGTCTTGTGTCTTCAGGCTCTCTTTTTCTTTGTGTGTTTTTTTTTTTTGTGCGACAGGGAGCGGAGGGAGATCACCGGAGACACACCTCCAGACTTATCAGACTTCTGCGGCTCTCATCTTAACGGCATACTCTACGTCTTCGGAGGATGTGACCCCAACGGATACACGAACCAGGTGAGACCGGGTCTGGAAGATTAACTCGATGCAGTCTTTAAAGGGACGTTAAACTTCACAACACTCTTGTCTTTCAGGCGTTTTGTAAAATCTTCAAAAACTCAGAACTATTCAAATACACTTTGTTGAAATACAAACAAGACCCCAAGTTCCTAATCAATCAAAAGCAAAGTACCCAGAACTTTTAATACCAGGAACTACAGTAAAAGGCTTCTTTGATCCACTTGAAGTTTGGAAGTTTAAAGACCTGCAAAAATTTGGAGAATGAGTGTGCAGACGTGTGAAAACGTATCAGCTGACTGTCGCTTTGTTTCACGTCATCATTGTGCTACAGACTAGCATCATCATTTGTGTGATGCTGGCTTTTTTAAAATGCTTCATAGTTCCTGGAATTAAATGGCGCTCCATCAGTCACTCATTGTTTTCTCCGTTGGCTCTATAGTGAACTATAGATCAAATCACAAACTGGTTCTCAGCTGATTCTTATGTCGGTTGTTTTTGTTCCCAATGAGTTGAAAACTGGTGTGTTGGTTTGGCTCAGTCTGTAGAGTCGGCGCCCAATGCACAGACTCATCGGCTGCAGATTTTTCTCCTAACGTCGTCCCTTTTTATGCTCGTCTGTCATCACTCACTCCTCCTCACATGACGTCCTCTCTTCAGCTGCACCATCTTACAAAGACAAAAGGCCAAAAAATACAAAATGCTGCAAATACTCAACCACTCTGTTTGTTTTCATTTAGATCCCCGTTAGCTTTTGCATAGCTGCAGCTATTTTCATCTTGGGGTCAATGTGATTTTCATAATGACAACACAACTGTACACGCAACGTCAAGACCAATACAGCAACGTAACCATAACAACAAAGACATCACTGTGAAGCCATACCAGTATTGTCAGCAAGACGCCCATAGTTCCTGTGCTTTTGGACAGTTCTTCTCACAGAGCAGGGCTGAAATAATATCCCTGGAACTTAGTTTTTAGACATTTGTTAGAAACTTGCAGAGTTCCCTTTAAAGGTTCAAAGGTCCCTGAGGAAGAATCCTGATTTTGCAAAATGAGTATATAATTAGTTTAGACAGTTATCGTGCAGCAGACAGTACATGCTAAGGTACTAAAACTTGGATAGTCAACTCGGCAAATATTTGACCTGCTGAACTGACTGAGCATGTTGGCAGAAGTTGTTCTTGTATATAAACTGGCTGTGCGCCACAAAAATGAGGTTTTGCAACTCTGTGGACAATCAGGATAATCAAGCTGATCATCTGTGTGCTTCTTACCTGCATATTTCACATTAATGATTCACATCCTAACCAAACAATGTCACTGGATGATAAAGGTAGTTGTTCCTTGACTTGTCTGATGAGTTTACCTCTCCGCTCTGTAGATGTACACCCTTGACCTCGCAGAGCAGCAGTTCAAGTGGAGGAAACTGACCGACACCTTAGGAACGACGCCATCGCCCAGGAACAAACATTCCTGCTGGATCCACAGAGACAGGTCAGTCCTGCCGGTGTGGAATCACGACACAGAGCAGCTCAGTGCCTCTGAAGACGATTTCACAGGAATCTGACGCATTGCAATGCTTTTTAGGGTGTCCACTAGCACTGTGAAGATACGCTTACTTAAGACTGAACAAACTAAGAAAAGATCAGATCTATACATCCAGTGACCAACAGGTTACCCCGTGCACTGTCACCCTTCGTTCTCAGGTGCCGGTCAGTTGCAGGAACATACAATGAAAAAATAAATAAACCGTGAAAATGACTTTACTGTCACTTTATTGTGAGTTGAAAAATGCTAAGTGCCTGTAGCTTCCTCAGGTTTGCCCAGCATCATCACCTGGGCATACACAGGTGTGTTAAATGCATATGATCACATGACCAATCATCAGAACATTGATTATTCCAGGTCATATGGTGCTTTCATGTGGTGTCAGACACATCGGGGAAAAAACGTTTTTGAGTTGTTAACTGCACATGAACACCCGCTCAAGTCGGAACAACAACTCGGAAAATAATTAGGTGCCTGACTTGCCAACTTTGCGTCAGAATTGTCATCACACTTTTTTTTAGTAATTCACGTTTTGCACATCAACTTTTTGCTCAAATATAACTTGTAACAGTGACACTCCACTGTTCTTTGCTGTTACAACATTCCGACAAACTGAAATCACCTGAACACACTGAAATCCGAAGAACGATTTCCCATCTCGGACCACCCGAGCAGCACATGAATGCAGCGATAGCCTCAAACGAGAGCTATAGCGTGCCCCAAACAACATCACACAATTCACATCATCCACATAGTAGATCAAACAGTATTATTAGGATTAATCCAACGTTTAGAGGATGGCAAACATTCATAAAGAAAAGCACTGTCTGCAAAGAGAAACCATATTAACCTGCAACTTCTGCAATGTGTTGCAGATTAATCTACTTTGGAGGATATGGATGTAAGACTATAGGGGAGGTACAAAACACATCATCGACAAACTTCATTGTGGAGGAGATGTCCTGGGTAAATAACAACATCATCTGCATATGGGCGATTTTTAACATTCCTTCCTCATGAATACAAAAACAAATGTCCTGACGTCTTTATACACTTTTATTTATGTTGTCTGTTTGTCAAGTTCTGCTTGTTTCTTACTAATGCCACTCCTACATTGTTATCGCCAGACAACAATTGGAAACACGTTGTTCAGGTGTTGGGGCTGGAACAATGAAGTCAACGTTTTTGACACACATACCGCAACGTGGAGCATGCCAGAGACAAAGGTAAGAAGAACAGGTTTAACCTCTGAAGCTCATGTTAACTCTTTATGTGCTTTATTCTCGTGTATTTTTTTTATCGTCTTAACAAGGAGAGAACGTGGTAACAAAACTGGAGTTTCTATTTGTGACGTGCAGGGTCCTGTTCCTGTCCCCAGAGGCTGCCATGCCAGTGCCTTAGTAGGGAACAAGGGTTACATCTGTGGCGGTGTGGTGAGATGTCTTGATCTCTTATATACGCTCTAGTTGTCAAATGTATGCACAACCCCTTCCCCCACCCCCCTGCTATGTTTCACATTTCATCCTCTCCGTTCCCATTAAGATAAATCTTGATTATCGTGCAGAGGTATTTTAAACTGTAGTTTGTTTCTAACTCGGTGGTAACAGTTTGGGGAAGGGTTTTCCTGTTTCAACATCCCTTTCCTGTTGTGACGTCAAAGTGCCCCCATGCACAAAGCCGGGTCGCTACAGCAATAAGGTGTCAACTCAGTTTTGTTTGGATGAAAACCCATTGACCTGAACAGTGCCAGAAACTCAACCCCAAACTGACGCCTTTTGGGATGAACATGAACTGAGCCCGACTTCACCACCCAATACTGTAAATTCAGTATTTGGCTGAATGGTAGAAAGTCCACTGCAGCTTCAAATACCTGGTGGAAAGCCTGAAACCAGCAGCAGCAGATTAATGCCCATTGTTTTATAAAGTAGTGTTGTATAAAATGTTTGATCGTCTGCATACTGTTGGCCATGTAGTGCGTCTGATAACGTAAAAAGTTGAGCTAACTCATGGTATTTACATTAATGGTTGGTTTTGTAGCATCTGTCTTATTGTAGAGTTTGTTTTGTTCTCGTGTACATCATGATGTTGATTTGTTTTTTTAAAGGCCCATTTAGGCTCGGGTATTGCAATTAGCTTTTGCTATAAATACTTTAATGTAGCAACACTTCCTTCAGACTTCTCCTTATGCAGATAATATTAAATGAATAAATCACACAGACTTGTTTTTGCAGGAGAAGTTGGAGTTGGACATGTTCTGCTTGGACCTGGAGACCTGGACCTGGACTCAATTGTAAAGCTTCCTTCATTCTCTCGTATATTCTCAAGTACTGTACTGTAGTGTCTGCTTCCTCCAGTTTTCCAGTGCTTATATATATACACTGATTTAGGTTGCATTCTACTCTGTGTTTGTGTTACCCTTCACCAGTGACCTCCCACCATCCTGTTTACCTATGGGTCGCCTTATGCACACCATGACGCCCGTTTCGGATCACACGCTCTTCATATACGGAGGTCTTGGCACGGACGGAAACACTCTTAGTAAGTCTTGCCCACAAGATGTTGACCTATAGTTGTCTGCACGTCTTCGTCTTCTGTTGCATTACTTGGTTGCAAAAATGTCAAAATATACTACAAAAGAGAGAAAAACTGACGTTACTTCACTTTTATTTTTTGGACTGGTGTCTGTTTTGCATTTCTTGGTTGACGTGTCTTCATGCTCATTTTACGTTTCACTGTTGTAGTTCTGTGTCTGTGATCGTATTGCATCACTGTTCAAGGCGGTTTTACATCTGTGTAGAGAGTTTTGGATTCTAGGTGGTTCTGTGTGAGTCATTTGTGTCTCTTTTTGTTGTTTTGTCTTTTTTGCAAATGTTAAAAGTTGCAACTTTAAGGAAAGACATTCAGTCTGTGTTATATTATTGTTGCATACATCTGTAATCTTCCTTGTTTAAGGCACTCTGAGGGGAAAACTTGTGCTTTGTATTATGCAAAAACAAACAATCACATTAAGGTTGTTGGTTGTCCCATCAGAAAAGCAACAGACTGACCTTTTGCTTTATTTTACGTTTTAATGTTTAAACTCTTTCTGCTAGATGACGCTTGGCAGTTTAACACGCAGAAGAGAGAGTGGACCAAGTTGTTACACCAACACAAGGACAAGCCCAGGTAGAATATTTCAAGTACTTTTATTTGCTTATTCTAATGAGAAAAATTATAAATCACATTAGTTAATTTATTTTCTTGTTTGTCGACATGAACATGAATTTAAGCCACAATTTCAGCTTTAAAAATCTGAATATAATCAGTTTGTAATATATTTTCTGCTCTCCCAAATATCTGTCTCTCAGGGTTTGTCACACGGCGTGCCTGGGGAGGGACAATGATGTGGTTTTGTTCGGGGGAAGCAGCAACATGTGCATCCTTGTAGATTCGGTATGTGATGGAAAACTTCTATATTTTCCGTTATTTTTTCCAAACTGTACTCTTTAACAGTTGGTGTTTGTTGAAAGCTTCATTTTAAGATCCACAACAAAGTGTTTGTGAGGTCAATGTTGTGTAGCCTAATCTTTTCCTTTGGATTGTGCAGCCGTCGGCAAAACATTGCAGCATAATTCCTTTAAATCCCTCCTTCATTCTGTTACTGTTTTAACCTATGGCATTTGTCCAGTGAACTAATTATAGCTAAGCAGTTGCGTTAAGTGTTACATAAAGAAAGCTTAAGTGGTTTAAGGACTCTGAGTATGAAGTGCTCATGCAGTGTGTGTGGCAATGAATCAACATGTGAAGCCAACAAATATAGCACTGTATACAAAATGTGTTCATGCGAGCAGGAAATCCGAACCTGCTGATGTTTAGCAGCTATGGTGTTTACTTTGTTCACAATTTATTGTTAGCCTGGTTGTGTGCTTAATCAGTCAAAGCGTGAAACACGTAGTACAGCTGGGGATGATGGGAATGTTTGCAAATATTGACCAAAAAGAAAAGTGAAGAAAAACGGATCCAGGGACTTGGGCTTGACATGGTTAAAATCAGGAGTTAACCAAAGTTGATTATTCTCTCAGAACCATGAACTTGTGTCAAAATTGTGCTGCCTTTTAATATAGAATTACAATAAATATTTTCAATGTCCCTTAAACTGCAGTTCTTCAAATGGCCACTTGAGGCTGGCTCCAAATGTGAGTCAGTCCCCATAGACCTCTATGTTAAAATTCACCACGTTTCCCGCCCTGTACAAAAAAAAGTAAAGGATGATTGTAAAAGGTTTTTTTTTTTTTTTTTTTTTTTTTACGACTAAGCCCTTTACATTTTTTGGGATGTTAAGGAAATGTATTATTAGGGGCCTTGTTGTTTTGAGGCAGGTGTGGCTAACTTTCCTTTGTGCTATGTCTTGGCTAATTTAGTCACTGAATTTGATTTCACTCCACTATTGCGGAAAATGCTGTATATTCTGGCTACAATAAACATAACGAAAATGCAAACTCAAGGCTTCACAATAGCTGTGGTGACTGCTGCACATGTGCATTGATTTCTGGACCAAAATAATTGATAAGGCAATATTTCCATCCATACAGCAAATTTAGCAAACTTGTGTGAAAATCAATTTTTTTGTAGCTGTTTTCAGATGCAAAGTAATATTTGACAATAAATAAGATGATTAAAATGTTAAAAACATTTGAAAGAACAGAAAATAATACTAGATTGCCATCCGTCTTCAATGTGTCATTTTCAATCCTTTCCTCAGGTCGCTGTTCTGAGGTCGCCATCGCAAAATCACTGCAAAGACGTGATCGTCTTCCAGACTCAGCCGTACTCCCTCTTCAGGTATGTTGAACCCTCCCATGTTTTATTTCTGATGACGTCTGTGGGACAGAATACAACTTTCAACTCTGACTTCTTAATAAATTATAAGTCTGCTTCAGAATATCTTGGACAGTGTGGATTTTGTACTTTCCGTTCTGTCAGCGGTCGATCACAAGCGTTTGTTGTTCTCGCTGTGCATCGAGTACATTGGGATTATTTAAGGTTATGTTTGCAAGTTGTCACCATTCACACACACGATTAACCAGATTTTTCCACAGAGAGCCTTCAGACACATGGAGCTATTTATACTCGCACTGTGGTGGACCCGTGTGCCGCTTCACATCCAGCAGAGGACATTAATTGCGTTGGGCTAACAAGCTTTATGCAGTGTGCGTATGTTGCTAATGACACAGGTCTCCAACAAAGTTCATGTTCTTTAGATGTTACCTAAGCATTGAAATGTTAAGAAGTGAAACTGCTAGCTAGCTAGTTAGGGTTCCAAGGTTACCTTTGGTTTACATGGGGCAAAATAATCTGGCATAATGTGTGCTCACATTCACTCCTACTTTCGTGTAGCCTACACTCAGGACTTTTGCTAACAGGGTAAAGCAGTGGGATAACCTAGGTTACATACAAAATGACTCTGTCCCGTCTCTGAATCACTTACCTGTAGCAGCACAGTGCTAAGATTTATTAGCCAGCTAGCTTGCTAACTAACACTTGAAGAACTTCAGGAGATGATTGTAGGGAATAATAGCTAGCTAGCAACGCCCTGATACGTTGGTGTGCTCTTCCCAATTAGCCTATATGTTAAAATCAGGTTGTTGCCAATGTTATTTCCCACATGGCTGTACTGTTGCACTCAAAATATTGGCTCTTAAAATTCAGTTTTATCTGCACATTAAAACACTCTAACTAGAATGGAAATATTACAACCAATAGCTGTGACCTAAACATGCAAATTACAGTAAAATACACCACCAGTGAGTAGATAAGCATGTTGACAGATGAGGCCATGTTTATTCTTTTTTTTTTTTTTTTAGGGATGTACACTTGAGTATAATAAAGTCAAAAAATGTCATGTTGGTTGTTTTTCCTCTTTTTAGATTGTGTGAGGACTCTATGGGGAAAAACCCGGAGCGGTTTGTGAAGCAGCTGAACTGGCTGCCGTCAAAGCTGCGCAGCAAAGTGGAGAAGCGAGTTGCCTTCTTCTCGGCGACCCCTCCGGTTCTCACAGCCTGAAGGGGGACACGTCTCTCTCTCTTTTAGATTCTTCTGAGCCGGTCAAATATCACTGAATTGTTTCCATTCTTTGTGTTGGGAATCTGTGTTTTTGTGTCTCATGGTTTAAGAAAGAAAAAAGGTGCTAATGTTGAATTATTTTAACTTAAAAATTATCTGTAAATAAAGTTGTGTTTTTTTTTTTTTTGCCTTATTTTTAAAGACTAGTTTAGATTAGGGATGATTTTACTCTTTATAGTTATTTGATCATGTGCAATCTGTTCTTGAATAAAGGTGTGGATATTTTGCACGTAAACTTTGTTGTCATTTCCTAAAATAAGAATGCATCGTCTTGATCTTAAAATAAAACACAATACAAAGTTTGATATTCCAATTTTATTTAAATGGGCTTACATGATTAGAGTTGAATGTGTTGTATGGGTTTTAGAAAATGTCAGAGCATGAATTCCTTGGTTCAACTGCATAAAATGTAATAATTTCCAGACTTGAAAGCATGTGTTTCTGTCAGAGCGGCTGTAAGAAATGTACATAAATGGGTAAATGTTACCCGAGAAAGATCAAAACTATTCATGTGTGAAGCAAAGCAGGAAACGGTAGCCGGATTTATCATGCTTCCTTTCCGTTTTGTGACTATATTACCATTTATTTTTTCTCTCTTACTACCTCTTGTGAGTTTCAGTTGCAGCACTTTTTCACTTCTTTGTATCACAGAAATCCTGAAAGTGAAACTGCACCTAAATGCTTTGTTCTCCTTTACCTAAATTTAAAAAATGCTGAGCCGAGCCAGTCATAGGAAATGTTAAAAAAAAAAAGAGCTTTCTCTATTATGTAAAAAGAAGCCTGATGGGTGTCTCTGACAGCAGATTTACAGGGCAGCCGGTGATGGGAGGAGGATGTCGTTTCACACCGGTCTGACGTAGTTGGCGGGCAGCAGGCCTCGCTGTCCCGAGCGCTGGTTGATTCCAAACATCCACCCCTCATCTATCTGCTCCACGTCTGAGATCAGATCGCCCTCCTGGAGGGACACTTCATCCGCGTCTGCCGCAGTGTAGCTGTAGATGGCCTGGAAACGCTTCTGTGGAGGTTAATCCAACATGAATACACAGACACACACAGAGAAGAAGAATAACAGAGCGACTTTAAAAACGGATTATTTACTTTACTGACTCCAATGTGACTGATTTGCATTTATTTCCCTTCTCAGTGAGATAAACACTCGTCCAGCATGTTGATGATGCAATAACACGGGCAGCAACTACAGACTCAGTCTGCAAACTACACACACAAATACACAAAGACACCAATAGAAACACTCACAGCTCAGGCACTTTTAAAGATCCAAAATTCAACACTTAAACATTTTTATTTTCTAATTCTGTACCCAGTTTTGCAGCCAGCATTTCACAGCTGTATGAAGAGAACAGCAGGAAAAAGCAAGTGGTCATAAAGAGACTCGACAAGAAAATGTTTTATTCTTAGAATCGGTCGCAAAATCACTTTTTGTTCTGTTATTAACAGCTTCAATTAGACTCCTTACTTTAAATTACAGGATATCTAAATACTAAAGATTGAAATAAAGATATTTTAGACCATGTTGAAATCTGTTACAACTTGCCGAGCCCCTGCGCATACACACAGGTCAACCAAGGCGTTTAAAAAACACACACACATACACAGTTTTGTGTGTTGTATGTTCATGTGATAGCCTTACCCCTCCAGCAGGTGGTGCTACAGCAGCAGGACGCACTTGTCCGACTGGCTGACTGCATCTCTCCTGGTTGGGCTGCTGGCCTTCAAAGTCTAAAACACACACACACACACACACACACACACACACACACACACACACACACACACACACACACACACACACACACACACACACACACACACACACACACACACACACACACACACACACACACACACACACACACACACACACACACACACACACAGTCAATAACACATCAACTTTGAAATATCGTCATCAAAAGGTTAATGTCTCTGACCTTGTCTGTTTTCAGGAGGCGGTGCGTCACTTCGAATCCTGCTCTTCTCAAACTCTTCATGGTACTTTATCTGTAACACACATCAAAAAACACACACACTTTAACATCACAGTAAGACTCACAAAACATTCGACTGTTCAGTACCGCTCGCCATTTAAGGAGGTGCTGAGAGATGATCAGGGAAGTTATCAATGCTGCCAAAGCAACAGTTAAAGGAGAGAAAAAAAAAACATTTAACACCATCAAGGTCTGTCTGCTTTGAGTTTACTTTATCAGATTTATTGCATTTGATTTTCTCTCCCTGCAAAAAGACTTTAAAGAGGCAACAAGATTGAATGCACCAATGAAAAATGTGCATCAACCATTGTGGTGAATGATACCATTTGGATTTGTTGAAGTCGCTCTAGTGGTCATCTTTTTTTCAACTTCTGTAAAAAAAAAAAAAAAAAAAATCTAATAGAGTTCCAGCTTTCATGGGGAAGAGAAAAAAACCGACCCCTCAATGTCCTCAACAGACCTCAGGAGGAGCAAACAGAAGGAGGACATGACGGGAAAAGCTGCAGGACAGTGAGTGAGATTAAACGGGATGAACGGAGAAGGAAGAAAGAATAAAAGATGGAGGGGTGAAGAAACAAAAAAGAGAACAAAGAGAGGGGAAGAAGGGGGAAAGAATGAAAAAGGAGTGATGGAAAGAAAATAATAAATATAAAGAGGGAGAGAGAAAAGTAGAGACATAGGAGGGGCAAAAACAGCAGAAGGAAGGAAGACAGAAAATGACAAGATAGGAAGATGGATATTTCATCGTCTCAAATGGGATCGTCTTATTCACAGATTCAATTTCAGATAAGTTCCAATGGGACATATGCATACAGTACATACAGTAAGATATCACAGAGCACATAAAGGGGTATGGATGGATGGGTGGGTGGATGTTGTTGAGGTTGGATCATTTAATTTGTCTAGTTTATTAAGTGTCGTGATTGCAGACGCTACAAAACTGGAAAGAAGAAGTAATGAATAAAAAGAAAGAATAGAGCGGGAAATCAGTGCCAACAAAATAGGGAGAGAGAAAGAAGGTAAGGAAGGAAGGAAGTTAGAAAAGCTAAGAAGTAAAGGAACCAGTGTTAAAAAATGGAAGGAAAAGCTTTGCTCTCTTGACATGCAGCTTGTCACCCATCATTCCTCTCTCTAACCCCGGCTCTCAGGAGAAAAAGGGAAAGTTTCTGTGTGTGTGTTTCAGTGTGTTGATACATGTGTGCGTGTGTGTGTGTGTGTCCACAGCTGAGAGACTTTGACCATATAGGGCAGCTGCTCCTCAGTGGACGGAGAGAAATGTCTGAAATGTTCCTGAGCGTCTCTGCAGGATCTGAAACTCTCCACATCTGCCTCCTACTGTTTGTGCTCTCTGATCCAGTCTCTGCTGCATGAACTGAATCACAATACAGACTTTTTCAAAAGTAATGCCTCTCAATCATCACTTCTGGGCCTCCATACGTATATATGTGTGGGTGGGGACTGTGTCTGCAGAGACCCTGTCCTCTGCCTGGACTTTCATGTTTTGGTCTGTTTTGGTTGATAACCGTGGGCTGGCTTTTACCCACAAACACAGAGTTGGCCTGCTTTTTGTTGGACAGACTAGTGACCAACACTGGTGGTTAGCTTGTGCTAGCGTGCGGTGGCTTACGGTGTAGCTACAGACAGTAAACGTGCACGCTAACCCTGCAGTGAGGGCCATTTCTGGTAGCGCTGAAACCCAGGAGGAGGGGCCGACATTGCTACTCTCTCCACCTGAAACTACACGTTATATGCAGTCAGCCAATTCAGTCCAGTGGTTCACAACCTATGGGTCAGGCCCTTCCAAAGGGTCCCCAAATTGTTCATTCATTCGTTCCTTTATTGATTATTGCAGTGCATTATGGGACGGCTTAGTATGACCAGCGTGCTCCTGTTTCATACTTAAAAATTCTGGCCCATCTAGTAATCATCAGGGTATTTCTCAAATACACAAATTTGTATACTATGACATTAGATCTTACTACTTAATCAGTTATGAAGGTATGCAGTTTCGGTCACAGCCGTGGTTTTAAAATGATCTACTGGAACATTTCTGTGGTATTTATTTGTTTTTTGTATAATTTCCACAAGTGTGCAGCACAACAAGTTAAAGATGGTTTCCCAATTTGAGTGTTTGCTCGTGTGATTTGTAGTCGTACTTGAGTGGGTCTCATAACGACTGTTGGACCAGTTCAATAATTATGTTTTGTAAATCAACCTCGGGGGTGGTGAGGACAAATCTTACACTTTTACTCTAATCTGTCGTGGGTTGTTTTTTGTGAAACGTTCCACTTACGTTGCTGATCTGGTCTTGCGTCTTCTTCAGTCTCTGCATCTCCGGGGTGTCGCTCACCACGCTGAAACCTTTCCCCTTGTTCTTTTCAAAGTCCTCCTTGTAGAGCGCCTGAAAATGTACAGCAATCAACTTTAAGAGCAAAGCTTTAAAAAGTCGAGAAGATTGACACTCTTTCATGTCTGTACGCTAAATGTAAAGATACAACCAACAGCTAGTTAGCTTAGCTTAGCATTAAGGATGGAAACAAGAGGTAGTAGATGGCGGTGCTCTGTTCAAACAATTTAAGTTTTGTATGTCTGTCTAGTTTGACCTCTTACGCTCATTTATCAACACAATGGACCATGAATATTTCATCCAAATATTGCCTCAGTGAGTTTACCCGCAGCTAGCAACTGCGCCAAACAACAACAACACTTCACTATTCAAACAAAGGTTTATTTTTTTTCACTTCAGTGTGAGTATGGATAACAAAATGGGACTCAGCTTGAGCTATAGAAGTACTGGTAGAGTAGACAGGCTAACTGTTTCTACTGGTTTTTAGTCTTTATGCTAAACCAAGCTAACAATTGTTAGCCGTAGTTTCATATTTCACAGATAAGAGATTGTATTTCATGTAATAAACTAATTCTCAGTCGAAAAAAATATATATTATAATGATATATATTTCACATGAAGTCAAAGATTCCCTGAACATTGAAGACACGTTTTAGTTACTGAAAAGGACAAAATTAATGTGAAACACTTAAAATCATGCAGTTTTATCACTAAGTCATAAACTGCATTCACAGTATGTTGGGATCAGTTGAATCACATCTTGCTGTAAAATAAATGTTGCAAGAAAAACAGGCAGAAAAAGAAGAAGAGGGAACAATCACGACTATTACTAAAGGTACAAAGTACAAATAAGACTAATTCTTCCGATGTATGTCTGGTTGATATAAAAATGTTTTAAAGGGGACATATTGTGAAAAATCCACCTTTACAGTGTTTGTGAACATTTATT